TTGTACCAGAACTATTATCATTTCGGCTCGTTTATCCTCTGATATTTCTTATCTGCAGAAGCGCGTGCGAGGCAAATCGTAAGAAACTTTCTCCGGACAATTGTCTAAAAACTGTGGTAACGTTAACGAAGGGGGCCTCATCATGTTCGGTTTGGGCAGGATCATCATCATCGCCGTCACTATCATCATTATCATGATGATGATGAAGGAACGGTTACTTTCAATCGAGACACCCGTTGAATCTTTCTCGAGACTCGAGGATGTATACGGCATATAGAAGGATCGGCAGCTTGTCTCTCTCGCTCTTTATTTCTCTCTTTTGCTTGGGCAGCAACGCAGCGCAGTCGGGCGTTCCGAAAACCTGCAATTACGAGCCCGAGCCTCTCACAGCGAGTGAGCGCGCGCGCACAGCTACATCAAGCGGCGCCGCTGCCGCTGTTGCGTTGTTGTTGCCGTGCCAAGCCACAGAGCAGCAAATCTCTTTTCCCTCTCTTTCTTTTCACTCATTCACTGCGGGCTTCGCAGAGGCAGCACGGCACGGCGCAGCAATCCTGTTTATCCTGCAGCGTGTCTTTTCGTATCTCGCAACGGATTTCTTTGGATTTTAGCTCGCTCTTATAAATGGTACATATACGCTAGCAGTGGCGCACAGCATACACGCGCCCGCGCCAGCGTACTCGTACATTCGAATCATGCATAGGTACATTCTGACTCTAGCGACGACAACGACTTTACTTGAAAAAATATAAGTAATTTAAATGGTGATAACAGCGGTTGATGCTCGGTCAAAGAAGATATTTTACTGAAATTCCTTTAAAGTTCAAATTGCGCAGTTGAATCGAACTAAATAAAGAACTTTACGAACAAAATGGTCAAGCTGAGCTTAGCGATTACGTGCAAAATGAGTAAAACGTATAATATTCTATTGTTACATTTGCTCACACACTTCTGCAACACATCGTCGTCTGCGTATCGTACTCACATTATTGTGCGTTAATATATATATTTATCGATTCTCAAAGCTAAAATACATTTACCCGTAATAATCTATATGCATGACAGCGCAGTAAGCGCAAATATGTGTATACGCCTTTGTCGGCACAATATCAAAAGATGACGAGGAAAGAATGCTCGAAAAGTGATTTTTATTACTGTTCATACATTTTTAGAGTCTAACACATATATTTGTATGTATTATAGATGAAAAACACAAGGGTTCCCTCCTGTGTTTTACCTCGCACAATAAGTATATCATAAGTATGATGCGTTTATTAAAGATCTTTATAATCGGCGCATGACAGGGTCGTCAAAATCGCACATAACAGTAACTGCCTTATAGGAGTCGGAAATCGAGAGTGGGCTATGAAAAATTGTTCTTCGTTTCGAGAAACAGCAACGGCAGCAACTTGCTTGAAAGTCAAGTACATAAGCAAGGCAACAGCAACAGCATTGGCTAAGGAAAAGAAGAAAGAGAGGAGAGTCGCGATAGTCAAGCATGCGGCGCGCGGGTCTCTTTCAAGAACAAGTCGGCGACTGACTTCTCTCTTTCTTTCTTCCTTCTCTTTTTCTTCTCTCTCTCTCTCGCAGTTTCTTGCGTCGCGCGCGCTCGGCTTTTATCTTCCTTTGCACGCTGCACGTATAACACTTATGTATATATACAGCTGCATGCCGGTCGCAGTTGCTGCTGCCCATGTTATTTTTATTTCATTTTTTGCTCAATATCACACTCGTTTAGTAGTTCTTTCTTGATGCTGGTATACAATTTTTGTGCACGACCGTTGTTTATCTAAATCCGATTTGAAAACTACTGCGCATTGAGATTCGAAAAAGAAAAAAACATTTGGTTTAGAGAACTTGTTTGGACAATATATTGATAAAACACAAAGGCAAGGAAATAATACAACCTTACTGTAAACTCTAGAGAACATACGGATATTTTGCGAGTCGATCGATCGTTTTTCAATACAACAATCAAGCGAACCGGCACATCCTCAGTCGCGGGCTCTAAAAAGAAACCAATATGAATCATCTCTCGCCTCTTTTTTGCTTGTAGCTGCTTGTATATGTATGTCCATATACTTTAACGTCGGTATATTTGTTCATTTTTTTCATTCATTATCTCTCAGATTCAGGTTTCTCTCTCTTTTTAATTCTCTACTCAGCGTACTCGCACGGTTTTATCTGCGGCGAAGCTCGTCTTTCCGATACTATTATGCAGTCCTATTTTTGTTTGTTTTTATTGTTTTCACTTCGTAACGTGAATGGAAGAACTAAAAAAATTAGGAGTCGAGCAAAGTTGATGAAATATTAAAATATGACGAAGTTGAAGATAGAATGTTTATTTTGTAATATGCGAGTATAGTGAATATCAATTTGAAACGCGCTTTAAACAGTGGAGAATCCTTGGGTAGCCTCGTATAAAAAGAGTAGCCTCGAAGAAACGTAGAAATTGTACGTGCCTTGATGCGCTGGAAAGAGAGACAGAAGTCGGGAGATAATCGCGAAGCGCTGACACTGACGGAAAGCCAAGAGAAAGAGAGAGAAAGAGTCAGGTCGAGACTGTGTCCTCTTTCTCTCTCTCTCTTCCTCTTGCTTCTTCAAGTGAGCCGCTGCCGCCAACGAGCAGACGTTGAAAAACTTCAGCTTCGTATCCTTAGTCAGGATTTTTAAAAGCAACGGCAGCAGCACACTCTATACCGGGCAAGGAAACAAAAAATAAAATAAAATAAATAATATATCTGGCTATAACAAAAGAGGCGCCTAGCCAATTAAAACGCGCGAGTAGTGCGCGCTTGCATGCATCGAGTCACTGACGCTGCAAGTCAGGAGCGAAGAAGAAAAATTTGACGATGATAAATTCTTGAAATTTTTCAAGACGGAAGTCGCGCGAGTACTGTAGGCTGCAGACGCAAAATTTAACACGAAAAGGCTTCTCGATCTGTGTATAGGTAAATATCTGTCTGTGTGGGTATACCTATAGAAAGCCTGCAGACCTCTATACGCGTATAAGTGAGAGAGAGAGAGAGAGAGGGAAAGAGAGGAGTGCTCGTGTGGTGTACGTAAGAGAGGCCGCTGCCCTGAAAAACTAGTAGCCCCATGTAAGAATGCCGCTCGACAGCCTCCACATTGCTATACCTATGCTGCGGCTATATACAATCTGCCGTGCTCTCTCGGGCATACACAGCCTTCGCGCCATTCTCTCTCTCTCTCGGCTCTTGTGCGGAGATCTTTCCGTTTCTTGCCCACACGTTATATACATGCGCTTGAACGAATCTTATGTTCCATGGCTCTCTCTCTTTTTCTCTCTCGCCACAGTCTGCGAGCTGTGCCCTGTGCATGTGTATGCTTATACGTGTTGGCTTTTATGATACCGAAAAAGGGAGAGAGAGAGAATATGCTCACGTATACCGTACATACAAAGTCCATATACGGCTTCTTTCGTTTATTTATATTATATTATATTATATTATGTGCCAGCAGCGAATAAATAATATAATTTTTATGAAAAATTCTCGGTAGAAATATTATTGCTTCCGGTAGCTGCGCGAAACGGCGCAATTCGATCGGGCGCGACGCAGAGGCGGAGCAGAGACTTGAGCAACAGCACGACACGCAGGATTTCTTCCACGAGGATGTTTGTGCGCGACGTCTGGGTGTGTATGTGTGAGCGTGTTACTGATTAATATAGGGATTTAAATTTGATACTTATTGAGTAGTGCGTTTCGCAGAATATTGACGAGAGAACGGAACTGAAATAACGACTATGCTATAGTATTTCTTTATTGAAGATTTTGTCGGAAACCGATTTTACGGTATATTGGTATTATTGGTATGAGGAACTGCTGCTCTCTCGAATTTCGTATTCGAGAGAGAAAGCAAGACTTACAACTCGAGGACCTTACGGGCGTCTGTTGTGCACATTAGCGACGCGTGCTCAATTCTACACACACTCGTTTTACGTTTTCATATATATATATTTCCCAGGTCTGTGGGGACTGCGTTACATCAATAGCCGCCCCCCATACGAAGATTGATGAAGAGACCGTGGCAAGTGCACTACTATACGGTATTACGGTTCGCAACGAAATTCGCAGCCAAACTTTGCGCAGTTGATTTCTGGCGTTGAATTTCGGAGTCGATAACGAGTCGACAATCGATAGGCAAGCAAACCCTAAAACTACTCTGGAGCAATATGCACCGGCGATGTGACATGTCCTGCAGTCGGTACAAGGAGACGCCGCTTTTATCAGGGATATTGCTTTTCCGTACCCCCTCCCCAGTGACAGGCGTCGTCTGCCCCAAGTGTTTGTTTATCATTGTATGCGATTCGGCTAGCTGACGCATGGCTCTTTCTTCAGAAAGTGTTGGCCAAAATCTTATCGTTTAAACCTCGTTTTCTATGAAAGAAATCCTATGGAGTTTTCTTCTTTTTTTCCTGCTCAACAAATATGCTTAAAAAATACTTATGTGCTATAAATTGTCAGGACTCGCGCGCATATTCGTTGAAATCGTTCTCTCTTTTCACGCTAAAACGCTTCCGCTTCGACGGATGCTGCTTGCCTGGAATTTCATCCGAATATTCCAATTCCAAGCACGTTCGATTCTTCAAAATGAAGAAAAAAGGCAGGGACAAAATATGCAAGAGAATGCGATATTTTTCATCGATTCAATCTTCACGTATTCGCATGACTGCTGCCACCGCCGCGCAACTCATGCATTTCAACTATCTCTTATCACGAGAAAAAAATGAATCTAGCACTGTCCTACTGGGCTCCGGGATCTTTTCTTTATACTCTCTGCGCTGTTGCTGCCTGCGCGGTGCTGCAAACAACACGCATCATCTCGCCGAAACAGAAGACGAAGAAGAAGAAGAAGAAGAAGAAGAAGAATGAAAAGCAGAAAAAAAGTTCAGAATAAGAAGAATAAGAAGAAACGTTAAGCGGTGTATATTCTCTCCTTCTTCGCGGCAGACTTCAAAGCTTCTCTTGCGCAGCGTTCGGTCTCTCGTTCGAAAAGCAACTCTCGCACACAGACGTACAGAGCTTAAAACTTGGCTTTCTCGCTATGCCATACGTGCTGCTCTGCCGCCGCTGCTTCTGCGTGCTTCCCCTCAATTTTCTCCTCATTCTGTACCTCTTTCCCTCTCTTCGCGTCCTCTTCTTCACCGTCTCTCTGTATGTGCTCTCGCACAGATCTCTGCGTTTTATACACACACATACACACGCACAAGTACAACACACAAACTCATATATGTGCATATTTTTTGTTTTCCATACCCTTTTTCGGTTTCTCTCGATTTATACTCCTCCTATCTCTCTTTCTTTATCTTTCTTTTCGTCCCACACAGTTTTTCCACTTTTTCTTTTAAATGAAAATCGGTTTAGATTAACGATTCACCCATGACATAGACGATGAGTGTGACAGCCGAAAATTATTTAATCACTGCTTGTGTTGCTCTTCCAATGTAATTATTAGATGGGCACGTGAGGAGACATGATTGTTCGAGTGGATTCTTGGATGATTTCGAGGTTAAGTTGATACGAGGTGCGTTTATTAAACAATAGCCAATAAAAATAATTATTTGCTGTTGCTTTTGCAAATTATAAGACATTTTATTAATCTGGATCTATCCTCTGGTTTCTAATGTTCCTTACTATAATGAAATGCTGCAGAAATTTGATGTGATCAGTGGAAAGTCCAGCAGTGATGCTGAATATGTGAAAGTGTGTAAAATCAAAGTGTTATAACAACCCATTGATACATATTTACCCCTTACTTATAATAGAACTGGAAGCTGTAATTTGATTCAAATTATGCAAGTTGATTGTTTAATTTTAATGAGAGATGCATGCATAAAATAAAAATGTAGCCCATGAAAATATTCTGCAATGATGCATTACAAAAATTATTTTTCTGGTTGGCAATTGTTCAGGTTTATTGAACTGTTATTACATTGATATTACAAAACCCTCGTTATACTTTTTCCATTGTTCACAGTGTAAAACTCTCCTGCATTGTTGCAAGATATTCAAAGTGTTGATATAGAGTATATGTAGGCTCGAGTAGTTGCTAGCCAACCAGCGTAGAAGTCTTTTCTGGCACAATCTCCACAAATGGTCGACGAGTCCTGGGGTATATCGACCCCTCCTCCAAATGCTACCGCCCCAATCTCTTGTTGAATGTATATGTGCATTATCCGGCATCAATCCTGGCCAGGATGCTCAGTTGTACTACGACTCGCTTCATAGTCAGTCTGTTAAAGCAAATCAATTCTCTGTTATAAGCTCTATTAAATTCTTTCTAAAATTTTTACTAATATACTTCTAATAAAAGATCTTAGTTATAAAGTAATTTCATAGCAAGTTAAAAGATCTTGATCATTGGGTTCTTTGAGGGCCTGCTGATTCAAAATGGTATGTAGGTTTTACTATTAGATCTCTCCTTCATATATAAATGCATTCTACCGTAATGATCATTTATGACAGCTTTTCATATTCCCTTCTATTATGAAGTCTACCTATGGCTTTAGTTTTTCTGTAGATAGAATTTTTCTTGTTCCTTCCCTTCACTCCTACTTGAGAATCATATTTCAAAACACAAGTACGTTCTTCAATTTTTTTCTTGCACTTGTTTACAACTGTAGAGAAAAATTGTTTAAATTAATATGAATCATTTTTTTCCTCATTATATAATAAAAAATGTGATGGTGTTGAAATAAATCATTGTGTAAAGTATTTTAAATCATTGCTTATAATTTAAAATCCAGGTTCTATAAGTTTTTGTATCCTGTACCTTTTCTAAATTACATAAATCATTATTATTACTCATGTACTTGTATGTAACTAACAGTACAGATAGAGAAATATACTTGTATGCACCTATAGACTACCCGCTATGAAATCATATTTCTATAGATGGCAGTGAACAATAGCCATCATTCAGGAGATACAATAGCTATTATTTTTTTCTTGTTGTACAATGTAATATAAATATTTTTCTATAGGTTCTTTACTTACTACCCTCTGCTTAAATTAATGATTTACTTGATACATATGCTGGGTGAATCAAAAAAAATGTTATACATATATCCATGGATGGTGGGTGCATTTTGCCTGTCGAGCCTTGTGTTGGCTTCGATCAATATTACATACCACAAAAGCTTGTTGAGTTTGTTCTGCGCAGAGGGGTAAGGCGAAAGCCAGGATGCAGCTCTGGGGTTGGCTAGCTTTCTTTTTCTCCTCCTTCCTGGTAAACATTTCATCTTGTACGCTCCTCTTGCTCTTCAGCATCCATAATTGGCATATATGACTCATGAAGGAGAAAGAGTCGAGCTGCATCGATCCAGCTTGTAGCCTGGAATCTTTTTTCTTTGTTTGAAATGGAAGAGTAGCGCAGCCATTGCTTGTGCTTGACTGAATCAATAGTACTCAGAATTGGTTGCAAGCGTGCCATAATCCTGATGGCTGACTCTGCAGGCATTATTGCATTGAAATTCATGATTTCCTTTAGGGTTTGAAATATGAAAAATAATATTTCTGACTTGTTAAAATATAAGTTTAGTCCCTGCTGTTTGCATTTGATGATTCCACTGTTTGCGATATAGAAAAGATTATTTTTAATATATTATATAAAAACAAGTATGAAATTTATCCATTGTAGTATATTTTGTAAAATATTCATTATCATTGCAAAATATTTTAATCTTATATTGCCCAGAATATGAATAATAATAATCTTTTGTGATTTATGCAAAATGAACTAATCAAAAAACCATTATGTATGTTTCAGGTTCAGACTAGCCATGTCCAGTAAGTGGCATCCTGTATTAATATTCAGCATAGACAGGATAGTAGCACGCGCTAGTCGTGGTAGATAGAATGAGTGGACCTCGACCATCCGACTCACGCTGTTTCAACGAAAATTCACCCAGGCCTCCAGTCCCTGGTTAGTATTGGATTTTTTTTACAATTGGTAACTTACAATTGAGAGCTCATTAATAACAATCTTCTATTACAGGCGAAGAGAGGGACGTCAGCTACAAAAACAGCTTCTCTAGTAGCAGCACAAGTAGAAGCAGTAGCAGATACGAGCAGCCCACGGATCAACAATCATCCAGAGGTTGTGCAGTATCATTGCGAAGCACAAGTTGCGATGCGAACAGCGGTGGTAGTACCTCCGCGCCTCAAGGCTACGAGCCAGAGGGCCGCTGCGATCGTGCCATCATCATGGAGGATCACCACCTACAACAACAGCAGCTGCAACAGAAATTACGAAGCTCTAACAATGCCAACGAGCCATTGGCATGCCTTCAGTGGTCCCGTAGTCTGCACGCTCTGCTTGAGGATCCAAAAGGCCTCAAATTGTTCGAGCATTACCTGCAGCAAGAAGGACACATTTATGCGTTGTACTTTTGGTTTGCTTGCGAAGGCCTCAAAGAGGAGCACGATCCGAACAAACTCTCGGCAATTATTAAGGTACTTGTCAGGAGATTCTTCCAAAGGCCACAGCTAGCGTTACCTGATGAGGTGCGCAAGGACTTGGGCCGAAGATTTCGCGAGGGCTTGGCAGATCGAAAAACGTTCGAGCTCGCGCAACGCGAAGTTGAAAGGCTTATCGAAGAGACTACTTATCCCAATTTCCTACGCTCCGATGTCTACTTGCAATACGTACGACAATGCCAGCAACTTGTCAATGACCAGTCTCGTTCACCTCAGTCACAATCAGCATCGGTCTCGGTTAAAGATGGCCAGTTGGATAATGATACAAATTCTTCGACAACACCACCACCGACCGAAACGATTGGATGTGCGTCTAATTTATTGCCCACCTTACACGAAGACAGTAAGTATTGAAAGTCATTTATTTTTTCAAATCATAATTATATTTTGTACTTACACTGTCTGTATACTTTCAATAGGTGAATTATCAGTACAGCAACCGAGTCAACAGCAATTACACCTACAGCAAATACATCAACAGCAGTTGCACCAACAGCAAACTCAGCAACAATCGCGCCCATTACCGCCATTACCGCCCGTACCACCTCACGAGCAGGCCGAGCCACAACAGCCAATACATAAAACGCATTCCACAGATCGAAATGTACAGCCAACGGGAGAGATGAGGCTAACAAAAGACATGCTTATGGCTACTCAACAGTTCAGGGCACTTGACGTTCGGCCTAAACCTGAAGCTTTTGCTGGGTACGAATCTATTTATGTTTGTCAAAGCTCAATACGTTGTGAATATTGTTTGGGTAATGAAAGAACAATTACTTCATGCTAAAAAGGTTTATTAGTTCATCGTGTTTTATGACATGAAATATTTGATTTATGACATGAAAGATTGAATAGTTCTTTCATCATCAAAACAAAAATATATTGGCAACAAAATCAATGAGCATTACTATGTGTATTACTATTTTTATTTATAAATCACGTTTTTCGTAATATTTATGTAATCACCTTTGTTTTTACAATGTTTCTAATTCATTTTTGTTTATTTTTCTCTTTTTTGGTTTTCGTTCTGTTTTGCCCTCGTATGTTGAAAATCTGCATGAAAACAACAGAATTTACTTGCGACAAGGTGCTAGTCCGTATCACGCCACGGTCTCGAGACCGCGCGTACAGTATTCTTCGTACAATCCGGTTTCGAGGCAAGACTCTGAATTACAGAGTATAAGCAGCGAGGCTCGAACAGAGTCTGATAAATTATCTGTCACCGACGCCTCACTGTAAGTTTGGTTATAATTTTTTCTTTAATTTTCACCTGCATTTTTATGTTATCAAAGTTTTATTTTTCTGCGGCTTCGATCAATGATAAATCGATATCTCAGCATCATTTATATCATTTTTTTTTTTTTTTTACAGAGACAGTGCATCTATGTCACGTAGAAACACGCGTAAGCAGCATATTCGTCAATATCAGCAAATCAAAAAATCGGCTATGATCAATCGTGACTCCGTTGGTCACGAAGCTATAATACCTCGTACCCAAAGGATGTCACGCGAACAAACCAAGCCGCTTGATCCCGATACATTTGCTAAGCATTTGATAGAAAAACTTAAAAAAATCAAAGAGGACCGTGAAAACGAGGAAAAACTTGATCGCAAACTGAAAGAAGTAGATCTTTCAACGAGCATGAGGTAGGGAACAAAATATTTCTTCAGAACTTTTTTTATTTTTTATTCAGGGTGTGCATAAAAAATCTAAAATTATATTCTCCTTATAGCGATATATGTGATAGTCCAAAAACATCATGTGCACCACCAACACAATCATCGCGGTACTTGACCGACGATTTTCGCGACAAGCTGCAGCTAGAAGACGATAATGACCAGGCAATTCTTGATCAGCACGTATCGAGAGTTTGGAATGATTTAACGCCGTCACTATCGCCAAAGCTCGCATCGCCAAGGCCACGATCTCCTGACAAGAATCGTCGTCAGCTTCAGCCTCAATTACCGCCACCGCCACCTCCACCTCGGAGAGATCAGCGGAAAGAAAAAGACGTTTTCTCGACATTTTCTGGTGACAGTGGCAACGTGAACGATTATGCTGAAACTAGTGAACTTCATGGCGCTGGCAGTATGAGTTCACTAGGTTCTCACTTGCCTAAGAGCAAATCGGTTCCATCGGATTATGCTGGTTCCTTATTCAAACAGGATCGTTATTTCCAAGGTATAATACTGACAATTTTAATTTATTATGCGATGTAACCAAAAAATCTTTGTGTTATATAGATGAAATAATATAAAATTTCTATGTTTTAGATCAAGAATCGTCTAGGCACCGTCGTTTAGAGAGTGGAGCGCGGTCATCAGCCACAAAGAAATCCATGACCGAACTGACAGATAGTGGCGTATCGGTTGTCTCCGACGTACCACCAGCTGCAGTAAAAGATACTCGCCTTCTTAATTGGCTTAAGGAAAACGATACTGGCAGTAGTTACTGCGTTGGCAAACCTGAACTTAAGGCGCGACACAAACGTTCAGCAAATTTGCCACAGCAGCCATTTGTTGGTGATCCTGGCATGCCTCTATTACCACAACCTCATACTGTAAGATTTTTTTTTATAATTCATGAATTGTTGAGAATGGAATATTTTTATTCATATATTCATTTTATTTCTTGTAGGCGACACAGCTGGAAGAGGCCAAACGTAGATTAGAGTATGAACAGAGTCGCAGCAATAGTAAGCAGCGTAATTCAAGTCAATGTCTCAAACAGCAGCAACCACAATTTTTAGATTATGAGCTAGTTAGTTCGATGCCGACTGCACCTATCGTTGAAACAGCTACAAGTCAAACAACGTTGAGACGACCAAAACAAGCTGGTAAAGATTTTACTACCGTCGTATTAAGTTTTTGCGATGAAAAGGTCCCCTACATGTTGAAAATTGCTGGTTACAATGTCACTCTTAAACAATTTAAAGAAGTGCTTCCAAAAAAAGGCAACTATAGGTAAATAGTAATTACTTACTCGACTCAACTTTAGTGACTAGGTTATTATAGTTGTCTAATTAATCTGCATTTTTAAGGTATTTCTTCAAAACCGAATGCGAAGATTTGGACATGGCAGTTATCCAGGAAGAAATTACCGAAGACACTGAATTAGTGCCACTGTGGGAAGGAAAAATTATGGCTCAAGTTAAGGCACTAGAGTGAAGTAGTATTTTTATCAATATTTTCGCGTTTTAGGCTTTTTAAAGTGTTCTTAACTAGAACCTTTGGGAAGAAAATTTAGAGCGCAAAAACCAATGAAAATGAATTGTATGTGTACGTTTTATTCCACAACCGATTTTTTCAAGTAAAAAATTCGCGTGTGTATGGTTATAGAAAGTTTATACAATGAACATTTTCATTTTCCAAATTTTTTAATATCAGTAAAACGAATAATTAGGTGAAATTTTTTAATTGTGAACGTCAAATAGTCAACAGTGGCAAAACTTTTACATATTACTTAATCATTGTACATATATTTAGTGTTTTTGAATAATTCAGAAACATCGTTTTTATACATGTATTTATTGTTGGTACTGCGAATGCATATTATGTTTAGTTGTTAGAGTAAAGGTGTTGCTACTGGCATATTTCGTTCGATACCTGTAAATAAAAAAGCCAATTTAACTAATTTTAATACTCTCAATCCAAAATGATTTCAATTACTTATCCAATACGTGCGTAGATTAGCGATCGACGAATGATTTTGCGCAATGCTCGATCAGTGCATTTTTACTTCGACTATTTTTATTATTTTTAAAAAATGGTAAAAAAGCAATTGCGGAAAATCATGTGCATTATAGAATGACACCTACAATGATGATTAATCGTGTGAATAAAAATCGACTGTACAAAAAAGCCTACGTAGTTAATCGCCTTATGAGAAGTACATACTCGTGTATGGTCTTCTTCCCCTTAGATATATTTTATAAATGTAGGGATGGAGAGAGAGACAGACATTACACACAAAAATCTTAATCGAACGAAATAAAAATAGTCGATTGTCGGGCAAGTGACAGAGTATTTCATTTTTAATTGAAGATTTATTTGGCTCATGAAAATATGTATATTATATATGCATATCATCTGATTTTAAAAGCACATAGAAAATGTAAAATAGTAGTTTACAAAGAAACAAATATAATATATAAATAATATAAATATATAAATATATTAAAAAGCGTGTTTTTTTATTATTCTTGTTTGGTGCAGGCAGTGTCGCTACGATGCATTTGCCTAAGCAAAACGAGGATGAAGACAGTCAAAGATTCGATAGGGTTTTATCGCGTTATCAATATTGCATTTGTGCGAATCGTCAAATCATGTAATGTATAAATTTTAACGATAAAAAAAACGAAAAAATTGTGTACCGCGATATTGACAAAAATAAAATAAATAATTATTGTCCGGAATTTTCGAAGCATAAAATACAAGTTATATTTCGATGTTGCAGTGAGTCGCGTAAGAGCAAAGTGTATTTTGAAATAAACAAAAACTGTAGAAAGCTTTGCAAAGGCATCTATTGTGAAAAATTTCAGAATCATTCACTATTAAGAAACAAAACAGCAGTGCTGAGTAATGGCTCGCGAAGTTCTCAATGCTCAGCGATTCGCATAAAAAGCAAAGAAAAATGAAAAAGAATTGTGCCTTTTTTGTATAGTGCGATAAATGGAAAATAGCCGTCTTGAAAGCCTAAATTTACGGTTGTGTGTGCGTGTTTCACTATACATTTTTTTTGTTATTTTTTTATTTGCGCGTACATGCTAGCTATATTTAAAACGTTTGTGAACGGCCAATAAATATCGCATGGAAAAACAGTAGATTCTTTCATCTTCGTTGTTTTATACATACTAAGGAAATCGATGAGTAACTATAAGATGAACGAATAAAAAACGGTTTAGCGAAAAAAACGATTTTTGTACCTAGTATTAATCAGAGTTAGTTCTTTCGTAATTAGGATTTTCGTGCTGCTTGAGCAAGCGTGCTTGGATCTTAATTTCGAAAAGAATGAAAGTGAAAAAAAATTGATGCGCTCGTAAAAGAGAATTTTTGTAAGTGTAATTAATGGTCAAGTAAAAAAATTGTACAATGTGTAATATTATAGTTTAAGGAAAAAGACTTCTTTATAATTGTAAAAGAACGACGTTTTAAGGTCGAAAGCGAGTTTTAAGGTGAGAATGCGTATGTGTATACAAAAAGCATTTTATGTAATTAAAATGTAATTGATGATGCTTCGTTAAATGCGTTTTTCAAATATTTATACTTTTTACGGTTAACACCACCATATTTTGTACATTATTTGTGAATTATTAGGGTTATATACGTGAGGTAATATTTAAAATAAAAATAGTCATTTGACTTTTTTAAGTACAAAAATCGTGCGCGAGTATAATTATGTATATTCTTGTCTTGGGAGTATATTATGTTTGAAATTCGCTGAATCGCGATGTATTCAGTCAATAATACAAAAAATGGTTTCATTTAGGATCGATCTATTTTTTTCCACAATTAGGTTTTTGTAATTCCTACGAAAAAATTGTTTTGTGTTCTGTGTACGATTATGCAAAATGTGACATGAATAATATGAAAAATTGTTCCTGTATGCCTATTAAAAAGCCGATTTTATAATACTGACGATTATTGTATAACAAAAGAGCAATGGATATTGAAATAATAATATGCGATTTCATTGAAACATAATCAACAAACACAACTATTTCTTTACAAACATTCCTCCAGGCTCACTTTTCAACCTTGTTATATTTCACTCTAACTTAATCTAAGTAGACCACACTTATCCAAGATTTTAAATTGTAAAGCGTCGAGTGCTATAATTCTTAATGGATTTAAGACTGAAAAAAATATTTTTTAGTTTATTTAGTCAACTTATTGTTTTAATCGATATTTTGTAAAATCCAAATATTTTTCTTAAACTAGATAAAAAAAACTAAAAAATTATCATTTTGCTACAAAAGGCGGTACATTTTGTCAACATCCGTGATATTTTCTTTTATACATTCAGTTTCCTTGTACGATGACAATTATTTTAATACTTTTTAGATATATCGATTAGTGTCAGCACATATCGTAGATTCTTGATTGTTTTATATTATCACAAAAATGAAGAGAAAAAAAGAGTAAACATGCAGTCGAGATCATAAAAAAAAAACAATTCCAATCTTCCTTTTAGCTCAACAATTGAACTGTTTATCGTCATTATCACATAAAGTTCAAACGTCTGTATACCGAGAGTAATGTAATATTAGATAAAAAATTCTCGTTATTTCATTCAGTTACAAAATGAAAAATTGTCATTTGAGCACATTACACGCGCATCTGAGTGACATATAAGCGTGTGCTTAAACATCAACAGCCATACAGCATTGGGAAGTGTATAACCGCAAGGTCAAATAATAAGATATCTAACAAAACATTTGCTGAGAAAAAAGTTGACATTATTCGTGTTTTTTTTCACATTTAACAGTCACGAGTACTATTACAGGCTGCACTACATAAGTGCTTGTAGGAGGAAAACGAAATTTTTAAAGTTTACATTCCTTATACCACATTATGTATAAAAAGCTTCGATCTAAAGATATACATAAATTAAAAGATGTGCGATATGAGCATGATGAGGAAAATCAAATTTTTCACGTCATTAAAAAAAAATCATATTATGTGCGGGTTTTTTGTAGGTATATCCTTATTCTGGCAGCATTATCAATTTTGGATGACAGGGCAGTCGCGAGATAAAAAAAGAGCACGAGTTATTTCACTTTGAACTTTGCTCGTGAAGCCAAAATTCCTATGCATGTAATACCCACAATAGAATTTTTATGGCCACAACAGAGAGAAGGAGATGTACGTATACATTCAAAGTTACGATCCGTAGTTTTCATATTGTTGATAGAATATAATATTTTTTTTTTTGTGAAAAAACAGCTCATAAATAAACGAGGTTGGACGAAATTTGATAATGATATCTTTTATACTGTCGCCACCGCACTAATACCATGACTATAGAATTTGCCTCTAGACTAAATTAACGCTTTCAAAAAATCTAACTCTTTTGATCGAAATTTACTTTAATAAAAATCATTCAATAGCTATTCAATTTTACCTATTAACGAAGTTATAACAAGGATTTAAGAAAAGACCATCATAAAAAGGAAATGTATTCTACTACTTAGTAAATTTTGAGTCACTAGAACTAAAAATCTTTCAAATGCTTTTGGAACATTGTGAGAGCTATTCTATTCTATTAAATGACAATCGAGTTTGAAAAAACAATCTACTGGAAAAACAGGATTTCAGTTCTGATGCTTTCTTCATTGATGAAAAATAATCTAATAGCGTTACTCTATGTTTATTTTCCGATAAGGCAAAAGGAGTCCTTTACAAGCGCTCGCATATAATACGCTCGTGGCGTTGAAAAAGTGAAAATCAATGATCTCCTATACCACCCTCGAAACAGCTTGAATTAATTTCGAGAGGGTGTCTATGGAAAAAGACCTGAAAAGGACTTAAGAGCGCGTCTTATATAAGTAGCCTGTAGATCAGCAAAGCGTTTCCGTCCCGTGTGTGCGTCTAGTGTGCTGATATGAAGATATGTATGCGATCTGGCACGTAGTCAGCGTGACGCTTTTCTTATGCTGATTTTTTCAAATAACTTTCCACGGCGTACCCCTGCGTATATCAATCAGTTTTAATTTAATGGAAACACATAAGCAGTAGTCGATACACGCGTGAAACTTCTGCTCCAAGGTAACGTCGAAATTTCGTGCAATTTATTATGTAATTAATGCAGTAACAAATAGCCACGACGCCGTGAGAAAAGAAACAAAATAATTCATCGTGTCGCTGTCACATGCGCGGTAAAATGATATAAGTCGGGCAAAAGCTCGTAACTAAGCGAGTGCATTCGTAATATCTATACATGTAAGCGTACAATACCAGGAATGAATTAGTTTTACAGATGTCAAAAAAGAAGAAAAAAAAGAGGAAAATAATAAAAGTACGTCACGAATGCGAAGAGACAAAAAAACAAGCGTTTCTCAAACGCGCAGATGCCTAATTGAAAAATAAGTCTGCCAGCGAGCGCATTCGTGCTTTGCACGAACGTAATTTTCACGATCACAAGCGCGACACCCACGACGATGTTTCGCGACGTTTGTCACGTAAAATCATGTCTTCCTTGATTATAATTGCCGATCGGCAGCATAGTGAGAAAGAAAGCAAGAAAGGGAGAGATTAGCCTTATGGCTCGTTTAATCGAAAAATTAAAAAAGAAAAGAATCATGCTCGCGGAAGTTGGAAAGAGGAAAAAAATGAATGCTTGTAAATTATAATTATCTTATTAATTATGATCCTCGATGGCGCGCGTCAGTCGCGTGTCTGCGCGCAGTTCAAGGAAAGCTCGGCCAAGCTCTCGAGCCAATACATGTTTCTCGTGCACGCCCAAAAAGTAGGAAAACCATACGGCGTCGATGCGTGTACAAAAACTCGTTTACGAGCGTAAATATGAATGTATTATTAGGTGCAATGAGCTCGCGAGACAGAGACATGCGAGATGCAGTATTCCGCGTACGAGCCGATGTGCACGTAAACCCAGTCGTTTTCTGCATATATAATAATACCTATATATATGTATTTATATACGTAAGTATGAATAAACGCGCTCAAGCGTGAGAGACACTCTCTAGGCTTTTTCGTTTTACAAATTATTAATAGCCTGAGCGGATCGCGAGTAAACAAGCGCGTGCGCGGCAGCAGCGAAATTTACAGTTTTGTTGTCGTCGGAGATCGCATAAGAGAGATACGCATCGAGTGCAACAGCAGCATCGCAGTCGTACTTATCGAGACTTTCGCGAAGGTTAACCAGAAAAAGGGACGAAACGATCGCAATTAGGGTCTACCGAAGTGAGATTAATATTTTATTATTGCACCAGCGTCTAATTGCATACTTTGTAAACCTCGCTCTCTATATCGAGTGATGCTATCAAAATCGTTTTCGACTCTCTTATCGAAGCCAAAAAAAGAAAGAAAAACAATTAAAATGTGTCTGTTGATACCTTGGATACTAAAATATGTGGCGTCCACTCAAGGGTCGTCTAATATGACTTTCAGATTGACTTATTGATTTGCGTATCGATAGATTGATTTATAACCTTTTTATTATGATTTGTCGTTGTCAATCGTATGATTTTTCGATGTTAATTATACAAGAATTTGTAATCGACTTTATCACGGAGAGAGATCAGTTCAACATTACTCTATAGACCAACACAAAGCTTACAGAGGGTAACTATTATATAGTATAACGCGCAGAAAGGGGATATCCATGCCGATGAATTCTTTGAGTCGGTGTGTACCACTTTGTGCATGGCGCGAGTGGAAAGTTACGCACTTAAAATTTCAGTTACGATCTCGGCGTGAGGCGGTGTACGATGCAAAAAAGACGAGAGGTGAGAGAGAGAGAGAAAAATCTCTCAAAAATGTCATTCCTTATCGCGGCCGGAACGTGTATATGGATGTTGTGCTCGTGCGCGCGCCTGATCGCGGACTGGAGAGACCAAAAATAACCGCAACCGGTTGCGTGTTGGGAACATCTTTAAATGAAACTGATCGTGCAGCAGCTCGCTAAGGAAGATGAAAAAACATTGCCGTGACACACACATACGGGTACGCGGCAGCAGGCATGAATAAGGACAAGTTATAGGAAACAAGACTTTGGGAGCGGACAAACCTGTTCGAGCGCATCTTCTTTTGATCCTTAGCTTTATTTTTTTCCAACGCCTTTGCCTCCTTGCTGATGCCTCTTCTCTTTCCTTCTTTCCTTTTTTTCCTTCTTAGCGCAGAGTACGCACGCACGTGCTCGATCGGCGATCGGCAAAAAAGCACGAGAGATCGGCATACCGATCCCTGCTCGCAGACATTCTCTTTACACATTTATACGTACGAAAAATATTTTTATCGACAAAAACAGTCGGAGAAAAAAGAGGAAGAAAAGTATAGGATTTTTTCTTCTTCGTTAACAGCTATGATACGCTTGGCGTCGCGAGGCTCGATAGGCACGAAGAAAATGCAAATTTATGGAAAAATCAGTTCCTTATCTGTAGGTCAATTTATTAATTCGTTGCATAAGGCGATAAGTATTATATATCGCGCCGGCTAAGTATTATATATGCGAAATATCAGAGCTATACTACGCGTATACGAGAAACAATTAGATCCGCGAGATTTACGAGGCATCTCGTTATATTACAGTTTCGATAAGCAAAAGAAAGAGAGGGACGAAGAGGGGAAGTTGTTATTTTTTTTATTTCATCCTTGCTTGTGTGCCATCTCTCTCTCTCTCTCTCTTTATCTTTAAACACGTAACTTTTATAAATATAGTAACACAATTTCTCTGACTCGTGCGTGCGTGCGTGTATACATATCTGCACAGGTCCGAGGAAGTGAAAAGAGAAATAAATTAAAAGGAGTCAGGAGAAAGAGAGACAGTCCTGAAAATAACCACACGTGCACGCGTACGGATGTGTTAATCAATTTATATACGTATACAGAGAGCGGCCGATTTGAGTGACTTTGCATAAATTTATTCTCTCTCTTTTTCCCCGGAGTGTGCGTGAAAAAAGCGTATAAATAATGTATCCCTCTGAGCGTGCGTGTATGGATATGTACATAAAGAGAGCGTCATCATTGCGTTGCGCGAATAACCAGTTATACTGGGCGAAAAAGCACGTGACTGTCTTTTTTATGCCAACAACCGGTGAACTTGACATTCCAATACATGTACGAATGTCTTGCAGGTGTGCTCGATTCTGACTTTGTGTGCATGCATATCGTCTCTTTTACTCGCTGTCGGGCACGAGAAAAACCAGCGAGTTTAACGAACCTGCACTGCTCTCATGCAGTTCTATATTTGCAGCAAGGGGGTCTTAATTAATCGACGTATGCGTGTAATAGCACATGTGTCGGGTCGAAAAAAGGTGCACGCGCCGTTCAAAAGAAAAAGTTCGACGAACTCGAAAGCTCGAATAAGGGTCAGTCTCGAATTACGTACATAGATCTCGAGCGCATTCGTACAGCTACGTGACAGCGCGAAAATGAAAAGAAAAATAAAGCAGTCGTGTCCGTTTGGAGGATTTTTCACGTACGAAGGCGCGCGCGCACACTTAGGCGCTCGTGCGTAAGGTCTCGTGACTGGCGACTTGGCGGAGCAGGTTAACGATCTCGCGGCCTTGTCACTCTCTCGCTCTCTGTGCCGCGCAGGCGCCGCTCACCGACTATTTGGACTCGGCCTTGCGTGAAATTTAGTTTTCCACGCGACGATAGTTGTACTCTTGCATTTTCGCCGATAACACGTTGACAATGTTGCAACTATCGTCGGCTCGATTCTATGGCCGATTAAACGAGATCACGATTCTTGAGACTCGATTGCCGTGCAAAAGAGGGAAAAATATCCGAGTCAAAAAATACTTCCAATGATTATGTGGGTATTGCCAGCGGTCTCACATCGGCTGGATACGTCGAGCCTCGAGAAATGCATAACACACTTATAGAAAGTGATTATTATTGGCAGTCACATGCGTGTGGTAGAAAATAAGCGACACGCGCGTGCCAGCGTGATCCCCTTCGATCGGATTCTTCCTTGTTTTGCGTCGCGCATTCATGCAGATCGTCGCGTCGTCTCTCTATAGCACTCGAATAAGTGGCGTGTCACATGATCGCGTACATCTATTTTTTCGTCTTTTCTCGCTCTTTCTCTCTCTCTCTCTCTCTCTCTCTCTCTCTCTCTCTCTCTCTCTCTCTGGTATCACTCGTGATCGTTCGTATACGATTTTTTGCGTATGATTCACGATTCTCCCGGCTGTATATACATGTAATATGTATTGTCATTATGTTTGCACGAGGATCGGAGAAGAGTAAGCAGACGCGGCTGTTTCACGAGTGCGTCAACAATATGATTAAGGAAATAATCCTACTCGGTCCGAAGACGTATGCGTAGCCGTGATACGCCGCGCGCCTTCGAAAATGCGACGCATTCGGTTTTTACCCACATTTACGTGCACTTGGATCGAGAATGCTATATACTCATCGATCAATTCCATCCAACAGGTGTTTTTAACCAACTGTATGTATTTGTTATTAAAACTAATCGCTGCCAACCAAATCGATCAAATAATCGAAGCGAGACGAATTTGCCTGATTATTGTGTACGAAAAGCAAGCCCGAGCCGATTTTTTTCGAGCGCAAAGAGAGAGCAAAAATCTTGCACTCGAGAGAAATCGAATTTTCCGTTCGCCATTGACGTCAGTGTTGATCGGTTGATTGGACCGCCTGAATACGCGTGCGACCCGTGCGGGTAAATATACGCACGTCGGTATGCTCGATGTGCCGCCGTTGACGCGTCCTTTGCATTAATACATTATGGCCAGCTGTTTCTCTAACCGAGCGGCTAAACTACGCTCGCGGCGTTATAATGATTTTTGCCGTCGCATCTATGTAATCGTTGAGCAAACACATAATCGAGCAAGTTTGAAAAAAAAATATATCTGTATCGCGAGCGTTGTAAGGAGTTACATCGACGTTTTTTTGCCGCTGTTCATTCGAACGTAATTAGCGCGTCGCGCTTGGCGGTATTATACGTTATTATGTATAATGTTAGCGCGAGCTCCTCGATGCAGCAGTATTATAGATTTAATAATCGTTATACATTTATCATTTGCATCGCTGCTCTCGAGGCGTGCGCTTTTGGTAATAAAATCGGATGATTGCCTCGCCACATGGATGAGACGACGACGGCTATGATGATTTTTCCGCTAAGCTGTGGCCGTAAAAATTCTATTGTGGGTATTACATGCATTTTTTACATAATTCACGAGCAAGTTTGATTGCGGATTTCGTTCTTTTGTTTTGTTTTCATCGCGTGATTAACGACGCGATTCACACGCCAGCGTACAAATGTATTATAGGTGAGAGCTCGATATTGTAAGATTCCTCGCAAATGTGCAAACGCACGTGCTCGAATTAGTATCGGCTGTGCAAGAGAAAAAGAAAAAGACAGAGCGTCAAAATTGAATGACTCTATACGAAGTGTTAGAGCAAATGAATTTCGGATGATTCAGCGCGCTCGTACACTAACACGCACGAACCATTAAACCGGCAGATTAATCAAACAACGAGTTTTGTCTTCCGAATATTTCCGATCGATGAAAATAAAAAAATAACACATATATTTGCGGGAATTTCTATATAATTTCAAGTCACTGCCGCCGCTCAGCGTAGTCGTATCGATGTATAATTGTTATGCATAATACCAAAAGAAATATGAATGAGACGCTGCTAGAGATAAGCTGGCGAATCTTGCGCAATGCCCCCTGACTTTTAACAAGTTGAGTCTTTTATTGGCAAATCAGATGGCTATTATTATTAGTAATTTTTTTTGCGTCACGATTTTGCGGTCGATACAGATCGAAAATCGACCTTCGATCTAAGTATATAAATGGTTTCATTAAATTAAATATATAAAATGATGATAATAAGTCGGACTCGTTGCTCTTATCAGGAACGACGACGACAGTGGTAATGGTGGTGGCAGCTACGGCGGCACATTATGCAGGTCAACTATTAACGGAATCAGGTTCCACATCAATACGAAGAAAATGGATCACCCCCGGCAGTTTGCGTTCAAACTTTTTAATTGGATGAAAATATTTTGCAAGTGTGGGAGATTTAATAAAATGTGCACACGTATGTGTATAGAGGAGCGAGAGAAAGACTAAGTAGTAGGAGAAAAAGGAGGAGGCAGCCTGCACTCGCGTAGTCATGTGTGTGTCTCTTTCTCTCTCTCTCTCTCTCTCTCTGCTATGCGCGTATATTCGCAACGCTACACGCGCGCACTGGCAATGCTCGAGAGCGCGCGCGCGCGCACCCGCCAACAAGAAGTTTATAAACCGCAAGTTGAGACCGGCCGCGTGTTACTTTACTTTCGTATATCAGCGAATGCGTATCGCCTCGCGAAGAAAGACATATAGACGACGAATCTATAGCGACCTCGTAAACGCGACCAATTTTTTTACCTTCGTTGACGTTTTCTGGTGAATTAGTTTTCTTTTTCCATCGTTTTCAAGCAGTGCTTTTAGTAATAGAGACAAACAAGAGGAGAAAATCGCCGAGTGCTCGGGGAGGAAAATGAACAGGTGTTTTCCGCGCTGGGATCGGATTCAATTGGTAATCGACCTTCGTCATTGAAGATAATTGGCAATTCAGCGAGGAAGCTCTGAATAAGGGCAAATTTTTCCATCGACAGAATCATCGACTGTGCTTATTGGCCAAGACTTCAGGTAAGCGCAAGTTTTCATACATATTGCATGTTCTCATGAGTGTAATTAATCGTGGCGCTACCGAACTGCTGATGATAGGACTATTCGCCGTTTAGTTGACAAATCATCCAATTTTTACTAGCCATCGACTACCTCTGGTTAACCTTCGAGTCGCGCGTGCAGTTGTGTAATTTCTACGCTTTGATGAAATAGTCCAAGAAACGCGACGAGGGAAAACAATGCCTCGTTTGCACGCGATCACATATTACATTATGTGCAGCGAAAAATTCTCACTTTCTCGAGAAAGTAAATAAAAACAGCATAATGTGCAATGTTGCATTGCGCCTTCTCTCTCTCTCTTTCTTTCTCTTTCTTGCTCGGATACATAGCGATAACAACAGAACGCGGTGCACGCGAAAAAAACTTGACTTTTCGCGCGTAGTACGAGCTTCTTATACCTGCTGGAATTCGAGGAATGCATTTAACTTGCAGTTTCTTATCGCACTTATTATATGTGATATTTTGTGCCTTTAGTGCGATTGTCTCGAGTGCTTCGATGACAAAATTATCGTGCCGCGTTAACGCACCGATTGTTGACCTTTTTTTCTTTCTTACGCTCAGTTTCTGTGCATATACACGAGTCGAGTGTCTGATCTCGTGCATGCTAATTATTTATCTTATATATCATGCTCCTGTGCGCAGTTATACGTCACTCGACGTATTCTCTCTCTCTCTCTCTCACTATCTCAACGTCGAACTGAATCGAAATCAGTCGAAATGCCACTAAGCGATATCGTGTAATTGGCTTAATCGGATCTTCAATACTCTTCGTTTTCGCCGAGCAACACAAACGTTAATTATTAACTTTAAAAAGTCGGATCAAACGTATAGAAAACGTATCGAGACGCGCATTAAAAGCTTCCCATAGCCGAAGCTTTTTCTCCGTGACATTCATATTTGTTACGTTCGCGGTGGCCACTCGAGAACAGTTAATTGTCGGATTGATGCAATAAAAAAAAGATAAGTTGGGTCGATCGCGTACGGCGGCGTAACACACAGTTGGATCGCGCGAGAAATTACGCTGTATCTCGATTAGAACCGATCCAATCGCGTTTTGTGCACATTTCACAGTGCCCGTGGAATGCCGAGAAAGATAAAAAAACGGGGGAGATGAAAAAGTCTCGGCGATTGATCGATTTTAATTGTTTAATCGATCTTGACCGAACATGCAGAGAAATAAGTATGAGTAAGAAATCCGTCTGACTGAAGCGTGGACTCGACTACTTTTCTCTCTAGTGAGAGAGAGAGAGAGAGTACACAAGCGAGAGAGAATACAAAAGCTCAAGAGTTGCCACTCGCGCATACACATATTTCTATTTTAAATAAGAGACGATGTTCGTGCGCGTATGGAAAGTATTGCACTCACACTTGGGAGCACTTCTATGATCAAGTGATCGGAATTGATTGGCGTTAGTATTAGTAGAGTCACGCGCTCCTCTAATTCGCACTGATCGACTCGTTTTATTGAAAGCAGCATCGTCGGTTGAAGCAGCACACGCCTGCCACGCGCTTTTCGCTCGGCAGCCATCTCGATCAGCCTTGCGTGTACCCTCTAATGATGCGATCGCAATAACCTTATCGAGAAAGAGAAAATAAACGATGGAGATGCACGATATCATTTACGTATGGAGCGATCGATACGATGATCAACTGCGCATTTTTTAACCACGCGCGCGGTAATTTATTAACTCGAGATAAATCAAGATCGTCTTATTTTATCGTTGTAATACTTTTTTTCACTCAAACGAGGTAAAAATTGCCGAAACATTTCCTCCTCGTGTACACGCCGCAGCTATTTCATTTTTTCTTTTCGTTTTTGGCGCCGCTATGATGATTCTCAGAGTTAATATCGTGTGAAGCGCGTACTTGATCTGATCGCGCCGAATTCGAGTGAATGTATGTTTTTAAAAATTCCTAATTGTGATTAATCGAGCTTTTATCTCTAAAATAACCGCCGAAGGTACTCGAGGTATGCTAGGTGTTTTATCTAAAAATAATTCGGCTCGAGAAGTTGGTCGTCTTTTTGGCACTTTCGCCATGCCGAAACGACGAGAAAAAAAGAAGAAAGTATCGAGTAGTCGCAGAGGATCTAGCCCCCTGGGCCTAAGGTACGCCGATGCCTACGTGACGCGGAAAATTCATCCCGAAAAGTCGCGTACGGCGTATTCGGACTGGCCGACGTGTCGCAGTCGTGGCACGCGCGCACACAGCCACAGAAGGCTTATACACGGCTGTACGAGGGCGTGTATTGATCGCGGGTCCGCCGAAAAATGTTATTGCGAAACCGACCCTCTTGCTCGCGCGCATTGTTACGCAAATCCTCGTCCCTCGAGCTGATCGGCCGCGCGGAGCTAAGCTTTAAGCTCGCACGTCGTCTCTCCGAGCGTTTAAATCTTTCTTTGCCCATCGTCCTTTCTCCCTGTCGTCTTGCTTGTCTGCTTTTCACGTACAATTTTTTTTTTTTTTTAGCTACTGACACACTTTCTCGCAAGCTCGAGACACGGGCTACGCGTGTACCGATCGTAAAAAATACGCACAGATACCTATCTTGCAAAGCCCTTTTACCTTTATATCGCATAAAAATTATTATTATCATTATTTAACATTGTCAGTGTGTCAAGTTCAGGGTTTCTCGAGGTTTACGAGCGACGACCGCATAGTTGACATTTTTTGCGAGTAATCGCTTTCGGTGCGATAAGAAGACGAGCCATTTATGCGTTCTCAATTTTGGGTAGAAAAAGAAATATTTTAAAAATGATGTAGTTTGTCGGATAATTTTGAACTGTCGGCGATGAGATAAGAGCTAGATTAGTTGGTTTTTAAACGCATCGCTCAAGGATTTTGTCTCTAAAATAGCACAATATTGTATCGTGGCATCGTTATCGAGCGATCATCGACTCTCGATTATCCACCTTTTCCGAGTATAAATAACAGCTCGCGCGATTTTCCAAAAGAAAACACAGATTCGACGTAGCGATGGTGGATTTCACAGCTCGCAGTCTCGCGCGCAAGCACACAGAGTCGGTATACACACGAGTACACGTGCTTCCAAGTAATCCGCCGCTCATCTTCCTCCCATGTTTTTTCCGCACTCGTATAGATTTAGTAGCGTAAGCTTATCAATTTTTCCCGATAAAAATACACAATCTGTTCCGGAGAAAAACTATACATCCTATTGTTTTTTAATTGCTCCCCCCGAGTTAAAAAGTAGTTGAGGTCGCTCCGGGACACGTATGCATTCGAATTCGTGCACTCGAGGAAGGAATTAATAGTTACAAGAGTCGCGTGGTACTTGCCTCTCTATCGTTTGGTGCGTTTAAATATTATTTATCTCGATAAGGCGCGCGAAGAAGCACGTGACAAGCCGTACTTACGCTGCCGACGCTCCAAGACTTTACGTGTATAATATTTAAAGAGTCACATGACTCGGGCGCTCGTACACTTATATATGCATACGCTGGCTTTCTTTGTATCGCGAGCGGCTCGTGCTGCACATTCTATGTGTAAGTCATACTAGTGCGGCCGTACGCTGTGTGCGCGCATATTACACGCGATTGTTGACACTACGAAGAAGTATACGGCTCAGCTACGCGTGCCTGCATTATTATCTATACTATGGAGCGAGTATCCTATTGCTGCAGCCAAATGACTCGCTATTTTTTCTCTCCTTCTTTGTATATATAAGTCGAGAAGAGTCGCGCTCCTACGCGACGGATATGAACTTTATGAAATTGTAAATATTGACAATCTGGCTCGTGCACGCGCGCGCGCGCCTCGTCTGCCTCTCGAGTGTACATCATACACACATACATACATAAGCTGCCGCGATTGTTTGGAAACTCCCGAGTCGCGTAATTCTTGAGACCAATGTGCCAGAATAATGAATGAATTCGCCTTCAATTAGAAATCGACAATCGTACATCGACGATTTTATGCTACGTTATTTTCCCAATGTTCCTTTCCTCGAATATCTACGTAAACATTTACGAGTATTTTGCGACTCGAACAAATTATCATAATTTTAAATGTATATTATAAAAATTAAGTGTCACTAGAATTACGAAAACAGTTGCAATTGACGTTCATTGTTATTCCGACGATAATATTCTGCTTCGCTGAAGCAATTGAGCTATAGCTCTTGAAAGAAAGAGAAAGAGAGAGAGAGAGAGAGATAGAATAAGAATGAGAAAGTCTCTCGCTGGCAGTACTGTATAGCATCCGTGAATTGTATAGGCCTATTGCGCAACACAATATTTAAACTAGTCGTGCGCGCACTCCGCGATTCGTGCAATAATAAAAAGCTCCGCTTGCGCCGCACAATAGTTTCTCTAATACCCATTCGAATGATTGATAATTGGATGTAAGTCGAGCGGCGCGACGTCGAGTCCTCTCTGTACACAATGTATTAAGCATACATAATATATAGATATATATATTCATGTAGATGGCAAAATATGTTGTCGAATAGCGACATCGGCTCCGGATTCGTTCTTTCTAGCCTACAAGGGACAAAGAGAAAAAGAGGCGTCACGAGATTTAAGCGGGATGTTAACAAATGCTTGTCGATTCCGATCTATCGATCTAAACTCTAGCGCCGATGGAAATGTATCGATATTCCTTTGAATTGATGTAATTTTTCGGTAAATATGTACAAACGTCTCGAGCGATGATTGATGTAAAGTAATCCAGCGCATAAATAAGATACGACAATTAATAAATCGAAAGCGCGTGATATAATCCAGTGTGTATATATTCGAAGCTTTGATAAAATAATCAAGATCGATTATTTAGCGCATACGAATGCATACGTGTACGCGTGTGCACTTATTACATTTTCACCTCGGAAGATGCTTGCCAATTATAGCATTGATTTCACATGTAATTTTAACAAGTAAATATAATTCTGCCTTCGTGATGAGGAAAGTGATAGAAAAAAAATAGCTGCGCACTGATTCGTGTGTGTTGAGGAACGAATCATTGTCATTGTTGAAAGTTCATAGGCAAATAAATATATAAATTTAACCGCGCGACAGTGCACGATTGTGTTTAAGCTCGCGTCAAAACAAGCCGCCAACGAGGAGGAAAAAAATACGGAAATACACAGAATCGTATTGCATATGTGTGCGCAATTTCAATCGATCTAAAATTAAACGTTCTTTGTTTGATGTTTGATTATAAAAAAAAAATGAAATAAAAGAAAGAAAAAGAAAAAAAAGAGATGAGCGAACTTTTTTTGTTTACTAGATCTCGTGCAAAGATTTTCGTTTGTGCAAGCGCGCAAGATACGAATCGCGTAGATGCCGCGAAACGTGAAATTATCGAAAAAATTTCGACACGAATCTTTGAGGAATGAGATGTCTTTGATTAAGAATGTAATCTAAAACTTGCTGTGAAATTCCATTCGCAGAATGAAGAAAGAGCACAGACTGAGCGACGGAATCATGGGCAAGAGCATAGAAGGTGGATACGTCAATCACGCACTGAGCGAGTCCCAACTCGATCTAGGCCCGCATCACAACGGCCTACCGACCCGCCATACCCACTACACCAACGCCTACACCAATGGCTCGTCCGATTTTGTCTGTGAGTATGCACATTTTTTTTATCATCTCTCTTAGAAAACTCAGTCTCCCTTCCTGATCAATCATTGCGATTGTAATTTGAAAATTGCTCTTGTCAAATACGAGATATACAATGGTTAATAATGAAATTTTCAAATGCATGCCCACTGGAGGATGCTGTACAAGTAAGTCACATTGCCGCATGCATTCGTATGAAAGAAAAAAGAATTATCGGTGCGAAAGTCTCGCTCGCGGAACATCCGTCGGGAACTCGGCGATACACGTCTCGTGCCTTGGTAGCTCTAATCGTCTCTTGCTGCACGTATGCGTTTGCGATAAATTTGCATGTACTCGAATCGGTGAAAGGAGCCGTCCGAGTGTGTATGCGCGGAAGCGCAGAAACGCGATAATCAAGCCGAATGCGAAAGAGAAAGAGCGAGGTAGACTCTGTCCGTACAAGCAGGCCGCATGATTGATCATAATCATCGACGCGAGATCTCGATATTGCTTCTCTCGTCAGTCGGCATCGCTTGCTGCAGCTGAAAAATGCCTGTAATTTGCGAATGAAAGCCGAAATGCTATCTCCTTTGCGTTGCAATGGATTTTCTGTAAAATTGAATAATCTCGCGATAAGCTGTATATGCAATCAGATACGGTATCGTTAGTACGGTATCGTTATGGATACTCAAAAAGTACGCTCCCTTTGATTGATTATAACGAATAATTTTGATGATTTCCAATAGTTGGGCTTTTAAAAGCTTTTATGTCTTCTGTAAATACGTTGTCTGTACAAAAAATAAATTAATTTACTTTAAACGAATTGGAAAATAAATTTATATCGAATTTCAAGTTCACAACAGTAATAGGGGGCAGTCGTTGTTACACGTCGTTAAATCATGATAGTATCCGAGCTCATTATACGAATGGAATAATACCAAGACATTTTGATGCTACTATATTCTATCAGTAGCAGCTATGAAAATTGAATCGAGTTAAATTCTCGATAAAAGGATTGATTTACGATCATTCAAACAACAGCAGGAAATACCTGTACTCGCCGCCGTGGACACGTTATAACTGCGTATGTATAATTACCCTAGAATTCCGGCTTTTCTTGCATGACTCTCGCTTCTTTGAAAGATTAGATTTTGGACGCTGCGGCGTGGTAGGGATGGTGGGCCTTAATTTATCGGCTTGAGCAGTGAGAGGTCAGTGTCATTGGTCAATCATATGATTTTTGAGACGTAGTGGGAAATACCATAGTGTCTCGGATAGTTGTATACAAACCGACGAATTAGTTTACGTCTTCTAGTCAGTTCATTTCTTCACGTCAACACTTCGGTAACAGTCGGTGTTTCTTTCTCTACCCGTAAACGCGAGTGAATGTAGTCGACTAAATTTTTAGTTTGTGTGCAAAGACAATGATTCGGTACAGTAGTGCATCAAAAGACGATATGGTCGCTGTTGAGTGTAAGTTTTTATGTTTTTTCATGGCGTAATAAATTTCATTTATCGATTAGAATTTGTACAATTACAAAGTAAACATCGAATCTCTTTATTACCTACGATGGCTTTGGCATTAAAAAATGACTGTACTCACACAAGAGTGAGGATTATAAATTTTTTCTCATTCTAGTCAAATTTTAAAGCAAAAGTGAGATTTTGTGTTAGTGAAAACAAGTTGAATAATTGTTACCCTAATTCTGATTTATAACTCATGAACTTGTGAATTAATTGGACTAAATATCCGAGACCACTAATCGAGAGGGAAATTCGAAATTTTCATATATAACTATTACTGAAAGATAATATAAAAACAAGTAATTTACGGTGGTGGTTTTTAGGTGTCAATTTACAAAGTCCTAGTTTTTCAAATGTTCAATCAAAGTTATTGCATATAGGTAATTAGCACAAGTATGCCATGTGCTTTAGCAGACGACACGTGTGTCTCGCAGTTGTTTACTTACTAAATTAGTTATTTGAAAATATCGGATTTTATTCAAACAAACAGCCCTAAAAATCTTAATGAAAATTGAATAAAATTATAAAAAAATCAACAAAAATTTTTAATTTAAAAGTTTTTTTTAGAAATCGATTCGATTTCGACATTGATAATTTTGAAAGTTAGCCATTGAAAAATGTAAAATACTATTGTTTAGTTGGGATGTTTCACTTTGAAAATAATTCATTTCAACTACGTATTCATATAAAAAATGGAGCTAAGCAATTTGAAACACTTATTTTACATAAAAATTCTGTTCATTTTAAAAAAAAATTAATTTAATTAAGTTCTGATAAAGAATCGTCGTCAAAAATTTAAAATTATAATTTCCATGTTTCATCATTTGCATCTCTCAAAGAGATATTAAAAGCCCATAAAAAGGGGAACATGAAAATTAGAGAATTCCAACAAGGTCCACGCGGTAGTGTATGTACAACAGAAACGAAAGTACGGTGAGATAACATCGCTTTACCTATGCTCTTGGTTAACCATTAAAAATAATGAATTACGAATTCGATGATTGTGGGTCCTTATCAGTAGATAATTGTGACAATTGCTTCCGTACGCGTGAGGCGCGTACGCGTTTAGCCGGAGAAGCGTGCGTTAATTTGCGTTTATAAATTTTCCGCTTGTAATTTCGAAAATGAGACTTGAAAGAAAAATGCCGGCCGAGCGGAACTTTATTACATCACATTTTCGATAATTAATGATCAAAAATCGTAGATAAATCCAAGCCACCCGTAAAGATCGAGCCCAGCTCTATCTGGCGAAAAAACAAGAAACAAAAACGAAAAAAATTAATTCGTTCAGGCTGTACACAATCTAATCGCGTACATGCTTTTGACTATTATAACTACGAGCGTAAGACGTTTTTCACGCAATTAATCTTGCGTGGCATATATAAATATATAAACAATCGGCTCGAGTCATTCGAAAACAATCAAGTCGCGTATCGAGTGCATAAAGTCTCGATTAATAATAATCCGTATAATTACCCGGCAGAATAAGTAGTTGGCCAAGCGAAGCAGCCGCACGCGAGTTAATCGTTGAAAAATTTAGCGCAAGATCCGTAATTAAAGATAAGAGCTTCATACGTGCAGTCGCGCTTACGCACGATTACGATTCGACTGGTTTCGTATAAAAATGTAGAGAGGCACGATCTATAAACGAGGAGGAGAATCGTACGAATGTAACTAAATTTGTCATAAATTTGGATGTTGACAGTGCTGGAGGACCCGACGTCGGTTGCCGCAACGGCGGGCGTCGACGATCATCGAGTCGTGATCAAGGGCGGCTGCAGCGACGACACCAACAGCAGCAACAGCACGTCCAGCACGAAGGAGCGACTGTCGGCCATCGGCAATTACGGTAGGCGGCAGTGGGGCCGGCTGAGCCGGGCCTGCAACCGCAAGACCCTGTACAAGAGGCTGCCGGTGCTGAACTGGCTGCCGCGGTACAACGGGCAGGACGCGCTCGGCGACCTGGTGGCCGGCGTCACCGTCGGCCTCACCGTCATACCCCAGTCGCTGGCCTACTCGAGCGTGGCGGGTCTGCCGCCCCAGTACGGCCTCTACGGCAGCTTCCTCGGCTGCTTCCTCTACATCCTGTTCGGCTCGTGCAAGGACGTGCCGTTCGGCCCGACGGCCATCGTGTCGCTGCTCACCTACCAGACGGTCAACCACCTGGACAGTCCGCATCTGCACGCGATCCTGCTCTGCTTCATCGCCGGCCTGGTCGAGCTGCTCATGGGCGCCTTCGGGCTGGGCTTCCTCATCGACTTCGTCTCGGGCCCGGTGAGCTCGGGCTTCACCTCGGCGGTCGCCCTCATCATCGTCACGTCGCAGGTCAAGGACGTGCTGGGCATCAAGGCCTCGGGCACGACCTTCATGGAGATGTGGTCGAGCATAATCGATCACGCCTCGGAGGCCAAGCTGTACGACGCGTCGCTCGGCCTCTCCTGCATCGCTTTGCTCCTCGTCCTGAGAATGGTGGCCTCGCTGTCCTTCGGCACCGAAGAGCAGCAGCGCCACAGCACCCCCTACAAGATCCTCAACAAATGCCTCTGGCTCATGGGCACCTCGAGGAACGCGCTGCTCGTCGTCATTTGCGGCTGCATCGCCTACAGCTTCCCCGTGGGCCAATCGCCCTTTAATCTGATTGGTAAGTAGAGAGCTCCCCCGACCTAACTCAAAGTCTAACTCAAGCTTAACTTCCTTCGACTTACAGGTGACATTCCAAGCGGCATGCCGGCCGTGCAGCTTCCGCCTTTCGGCTACACCAAGGACGACAACACGACCGTGTCGCTCTGGACGATGTGCGAGAATCTCGGCAGCGGCATAATCGTCGTGCCGCTCATATCCCTCATGGAGGACATCGCCATATGCAAGGCCTTCGCCAACGGCAAATCGGTCGACGCCACGCAGGAGCTCATCGCCATCGGGGCCGCCAACATCGGCAACTCCTTCGTCCAGGCGTTCCCCGGCAGCGGCTCCTTGAGCAGGTCGGCCGTCAACAATGCCTCGGGCGTGCGCACTACCCTCGGAGGAGTTTACACCGGTATCCTGGTGATACTAGCTCTGTGCTTCCTGACCCCGTATTTTTTCTTCATACCCAAAGCTGCACTGGCTGCCATCATCATCGCCGCTGTCATTTTCATGGTCGAAGTCAAGGTCATCAAACCCATGTGGAGAACCAAGAGTGCGTTTTTATTTCATTATTTTTCTATTCTTCCTACCTTTTTTTTCTTTTCCCTACCTCGATAAGCTGCTAAGCAAGGATCTTTTGGTCGTTCGCAGAAACGGACTTGGTGCCGGGCATCAGTGCCTTCGTCTTCTGCCTGTTGCTGCCACTGGAGATCGGCATCGGCCTCGGCGTCGCCATCAACATCCTGTTCATCCTGTATCACGCGGCGCGGCCCAAAATCGACGCGGAGAAGATGAGGTCGCGGCAGGGGATCGAGTACCTCATGCTGACGCCGGATCGCTGCCTCATCTTCCCGTCGGTCGACTACGTGCGCAACCTGGTGACCAAGTACGGGAGGCGAGAGGCCGGCGAGACTATGCCGGTGGTGATCGACTGCAGCCACGTATTCGGCGCAGACTACACGGCCGCCAAGGTCATCGAGAGCCTCATTCGGGACTTCAGCTCTCGCGGTCAGAGCCTCTTCTTCTACAACCTCAAGCCGTCCGTCTACGCCGTGTTCGAGGGCGTCGAGCCCGCCGACTTTGTCTGTTATTATACTCAAGAGGCCCTCGACGAGCTGTTCAAGGAGCGCGAGAGCAATCACGAGGTGCGGCGAAACTTCAAGGAGGTGCCCTAACACTTTGAGCTTCGACTGGATTATTATTCCGAGAATGACGTCCACAACGAAAATCCTACTTCTTCGATCACATTGACGATCATGATGATTGAATAACGTAATTTTAAATATTATAAATTAATGTATGTATGTGTCAGAGTATGTTTTTTGTGCCTGTGTCTGTGTTATTTTAATGATTTGTAACTGTCCGTGTTCTTTAAGAACCAGCGTGCGTATGTATGCTTATGTTCGTTAATGTTATGTCACAATCGCGTTGCATTTACTGATACATTTATACATGCCTATATATTTATCCTCAATTTTTGTATGAGCAACTCCTCGATACGCGTGCGTGACTATTGCGAGCGTGAATCAGTATACATTCTAGGCTAATTAACAAACTAGAACAATCATTTACTTTTTTTCAAACTATCGTTTTTTTTTTAATACGAAGAAACAAAAATCCTCTTCGAGAGTATTGACGCATTGTTCGCTTTAGTAGGTAAATTACATCACAACTAGTTTCATCAACAATTTTAATTTTTCCATCATCTAGCGCATAAGTTATTTTACTCGTATGCAGACTGGTTTTAAAAATTGTCGATTGATTATTTAAAACGAGTTTTCATCATTTAATGTCTAAGCTCACATGGTACATATATTATTATACTTAAGTAATTATGAACAAAAATATTACATTTTGAAAAATAACTCTCTCCTTCATAATGTATAGCGAAAGAAAAAACCTATTTTTTGTATAACTACGTAAATCCACGCCGTTTTAAAGAGAAACAAAGTTAGACAAACTAGAAAATACAATTCAGCATTATTAACGTTTATTATACATGTATAACGACAGTTTTTTAGTGGTTAGTTATTAGAAATTAATTAAGATATTCTGTGATAAATTTGTAAAACGAGAAGGTATAAACGAAGCGCTGAAAGTGCGCGAGATCATGTCATTTAGTATAAATTATTCATGATAGAAACAATTATAAAACACCGACAATAACAAAAGAAAATATTTTTATGAGAGGCTGTAAGAAGAATGCATGGATAAAATTAGTGTTTTTGTGTGCGTGCGTGTGTGAATGTAGATTATAGGAAGTATATAATTGAAAAAAGAAAAATAAGAAATGTGTACTATATTAGCCTGTACATACTGTAGAAGCATCAGTATTGAAATTTAGCCAAGTATTTTTCTGTATTTTCAACGAGAGAAACGAAAGCCAACTCTCATGTGCTTTAAGCTGAATTCAAAGCGATCAAACAATTTTAGCTCTTTGCGGAGAAGTTTAAAAGAAATAAAAAAGATTAAGATAACGATAATATTGTTAATAAAGTAAAATAATAGATGACATGAAACACTATATTTTTTCTCGTTTAATTTTTATTATTCGCCAATTCCATTTGATGATGTCAATTATCATTTCAATACAGTGTCAAAAGTATTTAAATAACCGTATGTTTTATAGATTTCAAATAATAACGTTAGGTTGTTTTCGCGGGTCCCGAAATCGCGATTCTCGCGTATATGAGGAGCGTGGAGTGACGCTGCTCTCGCCTGCCATACTTGCCATTCGGAGCGCGACACGCGCTCCTCGATACACAGCCAATTCTCAGTGGTGAAATCAAACGGCCAAAAAATTTTTTTTCCGCGAACATGATAATCTTATATTTTATTATGCCATACAAGTCCCCAAATTTGAAAGAATTTTCGAGATTGTTTAACACCGCTTTTCAAAGGCCAAATCGTTTGATAGTAGCGAGCTCTCAAAATGCTCAGACTCTTGGTGTATTTTTTGCTGAAAATTAGGAACATTTAGAGCAAAATAGCTTTTCAGCTCTTATTTTCCTAAATCACTCCATGATGAACTAAAAATTTTTCAAGTTTTTGCAATAAGCCTAAAAAAAAAAGAAATAGATGATTACAAAAACTTTAATAAAATTTAGGGACATGTATGACATCATAAACAAGTTTTTTTTATGTTCGCAGAAAAAAGTTTCTTTGGCTATTAAATGTTACCGAGAGAAGGCCATATATATTTAATCTAAAAAGATGCATAATCTAGAAATTATCACAAATAATGAATAGACATATGAATTTACAGGTTTTATAAGTACGGAAGTTGTAAAATGAGCAAATTTACAAAAAAGATTGATACTCGTGTTAACTTATTGCTTCTAATGTCTTGATTTATGTATTCAAGTATTATCCAGTACAAATATACTTACAATTATCGCGTAACAATATTTACCTTGCGGTCAAAAAACACTTTATCTTTTGTTTTACCGCATTAGACAATTTTTTGAAATTAGGAGGTCTCGTGTGTATACACGTACCACATCGTTTTAATGAGTTTACTTTGGAAGTATCACGTGACTTCGTCGTATTTTCGATATGCAATATATGATTTAATATATAATAATAATACCTCTAATTTAGTCTCAAAAGATTTCTCATGCATTACATTTTTATCTATACGTACGTTTTATAACAATGATATTAGAAATGACAGCATAACGACTATATTATAATAAACTTATATGCAATATACATGAATTAAAAAATATGTTTTATCTAGAACGATCAACAATATTTATGTCAACTCACAAATCAAAAATTAAAAAATTACATACTCGAGTTAACATAAGGATGTACTTTCACAACCATCGACTTTTTTATCCTCTTCTACAAATTGCTATAATACTGACTAGCCGCGCGTACTTATGCTAATTCTCATAGGTTTTCTTTATTTGTAACGAATGATATGACTAGAAGCTCGTTGACGAGCTTTGCACTTTCGTTGAGATACTTTGAGATATGTCCGTCCCATTCAAAATACGACATATATCAAAATGGAGGGTTTGATTGAATTACGTGGGCAGGCACCGAAATATATTTTCTTCTCTTTTCTTTTTCATCGTACAAAGTAGTCTCACTGAAATTGACTGTGTATCGTAGAAAAGTTTTCGTCATTATGTTTCGTTGATTATTGAATAAAAGGTATAGAAATGGGAATTTATGGCCAACCAAAGTCGATACCGGTCAGCTGATAGAAACGTCGATTGAACGGTCGATAAAAATCTCGAAGGCGCTGGATGGCAGAGGGATCGATGAAAGGATGATTTCTTCCTTTGTTTTTACCTGCAACAACGAAGAAGCGTCAGTTTAACGATTAGTAGGTAAAGACTATTACTACGAGAGAAGATGCGATCACTCACCGAGACAATGCGGAGTCGTATGTTCCTCTGATCTAAAAACGCAAGGGAATCCCTTTGTGGAGTTGAAGTAAAAATGTCTCTCGGATACGAGCCGTTTGATACCGAGAAAGTCTTGAACTCGAGTAATCTCGAGGGCCGGATCGGCGATGAGACGTTCGCCCGAGACGAAGAGCAGCTGCGACAGGGGAAAATAATTGAGCCAACGCTCGAGATGCTTGGCGTAGACGCCTATCCTGAGCGGAGCCCAAGTCGTGTCGACGACTCGCGACCCGTTGACAAAAGCCATGTCCTCGAATCTGGGCATGTCGCTGCGCTTGCTCTTGACCTGCGTGTAATCGGAAATGGCTCTGGTCACGGGGTCCCGCACGACGACGACGAGCTTGGCACCGGGATTCATGTGCTGCACTCGACGCGGAGCCTCGGCCGTCACGAAGTACGACGGAGTCTTTTCCATAGTGATTTGTCCCTGAAGCGTCAGTGGCATCCGGCGTCTGTACCAGTGAAAGCCCTTGCTGTAGTGATGGTCGAAGAAGTGGATCTCCGAGCCGGCTGCCTTCACGTCCGGATGAAGTCGCAGAAACTCGAGCAGTGCTCTGGTGCCGCCTTTTTTCACGCCGATGATCAGGGCACTGGGTAGTTGCCTCGCGGCCGCGAGCTCCTGCTCAGCCAGCAGATCCTCGTATTTGGCCTCGGTCCTTTCCAACGCTGCCGCGTCGTCCTGTTGAAAAATGCGCCAATCAAATGATTCGATTCAGCAAGCAAAACTCGGCATAGTTTCACCGACAATTGCAGTACACCCACCTTGAGGCTATCATTGTTGGGTGAGAGAGGAACTACCTGGACTCGAGTCAGCTTCCTCTCGGGATTGTCGAGCGGTATTTCTCGGACTAGAGGCTCGTTCGATTGTCTCTGGTTTTGCTGCAGTTGCAGACGATTGTAATAATAGCTATTGAATCTGGATGGACGAAGAAGGCACGAGCGCTCGAGCGCGACGAGCAGCAGAGCAGCTAGCAGACAAACCGCTAGACACACTTTCCTCGTTCCTGACCATTTACCATACTCCATGGCTGCTTCGTGGACAATTTTTGCATTGTGCGAGATTTCATCTTAGCTCACCGACTCTTCGATCTAATGGAAAACAAAGTTTTGTTTCAGCAAAAAATTCAGCGGCATTTCGCGATTGGGAAAAGTTTGACAACCCGGCGGGGTGAATGAACTGTACACTCGCTTAATCGATGCCCATTTGAATAATTACGCTCAGCCACGAATACCCAAATGAGTATTAATAAAGTTAAGAGGTAAATTTACCTGTGCAAGCTGAGCATGGTGTCTACGGTGAGTAGCAGCTGCGGCTATCAATCGTTTTCTGCGGCTGCCGAATGCAGAGGATTGCGTCTATTTGATAGTGAGTGGGGATGATACACACGCGGCGAGCACGTCGTCGTCGTCGTCAAGCGCAAAAAGTGCGACGCGCAAGACGAATCGATAATTGCGCGCAGCCTGCGTCTATGCAGAGACTAGTATCAGCCTATGCGCGCGAGTCGTTATCGCCGTTGCGCGGCGCAGGATATTTCAATGAAGGGCTGATTTCATTCGCCGCGGATCGTTTTAATCAAGGACTGCCTTTAAAATTTTATCCTTTTTTATTAACAGTATTTTTTCCTTTCTACTACAGTGATTTTTTATTCAATCATTTTTCGCAATTTCCTTTTTACAGTGTAGAGCAAGACCAGGAGCCTAGGTCACCCGCATATTATTTATAACAATTATTCTTCAGAGCATTTTTTTTCATAGTTATGGTGAAGAGTATACAAATTTTCGATCGAAATTAGTGTTTTACTTCTCAAATCAACGTGCGCTAGTTTTGAGCACGATCGTTCCTTTTTACTTCCCTTCACGAAATTTTTGTAAATACATACTTTATTCGATATATATCAACTAATCGTAATGAGCTTTTTTAGCGATTACTTCTGTAAAATAATTATACAAAAACACAATATGTACCATACATACTTATGCATAAGCGACCAAAAAATATCATAAATATTGGTAAAAATACAAGCAATTGAAATTGACACTTCTCACCGAAAGACGTTTTAGAATTTATGAAATAAAATAAAATGTTTCATCAGATTTTTGATAAAAAAATCTGAAGTATTCTATGATTTAATTTTTGATATTGAAAATGAATCGTCCTGTTCTTTATAAGAGACATCTATTTAATGTATAATTTATTTAAATTCAGTATATATTGCTTTTTGGATATTTAATATCCAATTATCCTACCAGTATATTAGAGAGTTGTTTAACGAATATTCTACAACTTTTTAGAAAAGTTATTACAAGAAAAGAAAATCAGCAATATAGCAAGTGCCAAATTTTTAAGCTCTAATTTCATCCAATATAACCATAGATTTTGAAAATACAATCAAGTTTTTGTTAAGAAACGACTTGGTCAATTCTAATGTGAGCTTACAAATCATATCTAAAAATATGCTCAAAAGTTTTTAATTTCATATAATTTTCTTTGATAATTATCGAAGTAATAATTGATTTTTAAACATTTTTTAATTGCTATTTGCTACTTTTTAGTACAATAGCTGCTTTATGTATGGACGAGCTTCACGCGATATACTTCACGTTTTGTGAACTATATCAATTGATTGATATATCATAATAATTTTATCAACATTTTTTAATTTTATCTTTCAATCTGTAACTTGAGATATATTTTTTGTTGTAACCGAAATTTTTGAAAGATTTGAGTAAAATTTTATTAATTTTATGCAAACACTGGAAAGTTTCATAAAAAGCTGTTATAATTACAGAATAAAATTGAACAATTAGTATGTAGTTATTGTACACTGCTTTTTGACAATTTTGTCTTCATTAACAATCGTATACCTAAAATTCAACGGAAAAACAATTTTCCTGCAACAAGCTTGATAGTTTTATAAATGTGCAAGTATTTTTTGAAAATTATTATCGTTGATACTATTTGCAACGAACTTGAATTACATGTTATAGATTTTCAGATGTTCGTCGTAAAAATCTTTAAATTAATTTGGCTTAATTAGTTGCAACATACAATTGGACTTGAAAATGAAACTGTGCGTCTTTGTTAATGAAAACGAACATGTAATTGGACCTATTGACACATATTCGACCATATTTACACGGAGTCTGCGTTATTAAAGTAGGGCTGTTCTTAACGACGACATATTTACATTATTGTGAAACGAAAGTGATGAAAAAGAATCGTATGGGTGCATACACCACTTTTCAGCGAAGACAACAAAAAACGGAATTTTGAATCATTGATCGAAGTTCTCGTTGGATCCGGACTGTTTTTAGCCTGCGAGATACAGAAGTGTGATTGAATCAGTTGTACATTTAATCAAGAGTTTGAAGGATTGTCTCACTTTCGAATCACGATGACTGAAAAGTCATCAACAATCGAGATCCATAACTGACACGAACATTTCACTCAGGGTTGGTGCTTTAGGCATACGTATTTTTTAAAGCCGAAAGAGCTATTAGCAAAACGATTGTTCTAAATGGCAAATAGCACTATTGAATAATGCCTTTGGTTGGTGTGCTTAAAGCACAAATGCACCTGTTACACTTTCTCGATAACAAATATTTTGACGCGTTTATAAATAACAACAAGAGCAGCAGCAGTAGCAGCAGTAGCATCGCAATCGCTCGAGCATAATCTGAAAGCTGCATTGACGCGTGCGATCCGCTTAAACGTATTTCCAGAACATGATCCAGTAGGTGACGTTGAGCATGGCGAAGAGCGCAGGGAAGAGGAAGCGCGAGACTCGATCGATGTTGAGCGCGCGGACTTTGGCGCGCTGAGTCTTGGTCGCTGCCGGGGAAGGAGCCGCGGCTTGCGACTTTTGCGATCGGCCCGACAGCAGCATGGCATTTTCCTGCAACAGAGCGCCAATCAGTGTCCGCCGAACTGGCTCGCAACTACGTCGATGGAAAAGGTTCGATCGCGCAGCGTACCTTGCTGGCTATGTCGAAGATCTTGGGGTCGGGGCCACCAGCGGGGCCAGGCGGTGGTCCCGCCGCCGGCGCAGGAGGTGGAGGCGGTGGCTTCGGATTGACCGTCTCCCTGGTCTCGCCGATCACCAGGACGATGTTGACGAGGCAATACTCCATCAGGGCCATGAACACGAAGACCGTGCAGACCGACATGAAGGCGTCCACGGCTTTGAGATAAGAGACCGGCGGCAAGGAGGCCTGACTCTTTGCGTGCTGCGTCGACAGAGTCAGGAGCGAAGTCACGCCGAGCGTCACTCGAGCTGGAGCGGCTTCGGGCTTTATCCAGAACGACACCCACTGCAGAAAAAACAAGGAAATAGTTACGAGCGCTTGGATGTGCTCGATACTTCTGGATTCTGCCGAAATTAACGAGCGACAAAAATTATACTTACGGACATGATGACAATGAGGCAAGTTGGTACGTAAGTGTGAAACAAGTAGTAGCCCAAACGTCGCTTCAGAACAAATATGACTTCGAGGCAGGTGAAATTACCTAAATTAAAACAGTCGAGAAAGTAAGTCAAATTTTTTCTCGCTGCGCAAACCAGGTTAGCCGCGTCGTCGAGTGATAGTAGCGATCAAAGAGAAGAAGGAGAAAACGAAAAACTCGTGAATATATATCAAAGCTGAAAAGAAGCGCTTGTTTTTGTCGCAATTTTCCGCTTCGAAAGTTCGCGCGTACACGTAGAAAGAGGGAGAAAACAAACCACATCAGAAAGAAAATTTTACTTTTTTAAGTGCACAGACGTTGGCGGATCTTTGTCAATCCGCGCCCACATGTATAATGATAACTACTTACCAGTGGAGTAAACCTGCGTGCAGTCGGCCGTGTAGTTCTTCACGAGCTGCAATTGGGGTAGTTCGATGTTTTCGTCGACGACGAGTGGCACATCTGGATCCCATTGGAATATCATCTCGTCGGTTGTGTGCGACACTGCATAAATGCGGAATATAGACGTGTGCATTATTTTCAAACGACTTGTTTGCCTTCAATTGAAACTTTCAATGCGTAATGAGCGAGAAATCAATGCCGCCACTGTGACGCGCGACATTTTTTACAATAGGCGTCGCGCATGTATACGTGTGTTGGATCGTGACGTACATGCAGGGTGCAATTAAGTCACGCGTCTGTGTGAAAATTGATTTTCAGAGATCGAGTGGCAGGCTCGTTTTGCTCGTTTTACTATACGAGAGAGGCTCGAGTGTCTCGTAGGCACAGATTTTTTTTTGCTACTTACGGCTTTCCATTTGGAGCTTGCACTCTTGAGTGTCGTGAGGGTAGATGAGGAAATTCATGGCGCAAGAAAGTTTCAGCGTCAACCTGCAATCCGTGCATAATATATTTTACGTGCCATATTTTCACGACGGTTCACAGCGGACTGTGTCAGCAGTACGTACTTGACCATGTAGAGTATAGTTTTGTCCTTGTACAGCCATAGATAATGATTGGGAACCGTCATGGTCTGAAACGTCACGGATTTGGCGTTTTTGAAAAACGAGTCCGGTCTCCACATGTTCTTCAACCAGTCGACTTCCAATAACCTAAATTACGCGTCATAAGTATTATTTTTACGAGTGGATTGTTGAGATGATCGACAGATCCGTTCGGTATTGCGCGTAATAATATAGTACCTATATTCGGACGTCATGTTCTCCGGCAGTCGCAGTCTGTTGTCTTTCCACGTTTGCGCGAAGAAGATGTCGGCGACGTACGTCTTTTTACGCGATAAAATAAAAAATGAGTAAATTCTCAATTAGAATAAAATTGTCGTTGGAATCATATATTCAATTACCATTGAAGTTTCATCGATGGAATCGAGACCCATGACGGTTACGTGAAAATACACGACCGTCGCTTGTCCGTCCTTTTTTGGCGGTCGCATCTTGTCGTAGAGCTTCGGATCCTCCGGAAGCAAATCATAAAATTCCAAACTTTTTCTGACAAAAAAAAGAAAAACAGTAAAGACAACGCATGAATAAAAAAATCATTGGAACGAATCGACTGAATTTATTTGTACGCAGTGCGAAGCGCCGAATGAAAGTCGCGAGATGAGAACGAGACATGATAAATCGACATAATGCGAAATTAGAACGAAGCACTCGAATTGCGCTCGGGCGCGCGCAAGATTCGGTTTTAATATTGAAACACATATATTATCTGCAAGTTTTAGGCAGAGAAAGATGAGAGAAGGTCAAAAACCTACAAGGTGATCGCGACGGTACATGAGTGTGTATGTGTGTGGCATACGAGTGCATGTGTTTGTATCTGAACGCGCGAGCAAAGATAAGGATTAATCTTGACCTATTTTCCTCTTGTCTCATTGGAGAATCGTAGCGCGCACGTAAATTTTTTTCATAGATGCATTTTCTTGCCTAGTCGGCCGATAATACTGATTCGACGATTTTTCGCGCCCGTGCAAAAATCGCGTAATTCAGCTTGGAAGCGTCAATTGTCGGCCGAGACGCAAGGCGAAAGGAGCGCTGCCGATTTGGTTGTCGCGCTCGGATCGTTTAGCGCATCATGCCCTCGCTCGGATCGAAAACTTTTAAACAATGGACCGTATGAAGCGCGTTATCGAGGCGGGCCAGGCATGCATAAGCGATATAAAAGAAGCTTACTGAGCATCGGATGGGCTGATCCAGAGAAGCAAGAAGACAAGAGCTGCCGCGGTAGCTGCTGATGCCTCGCAGCAGCCCCTCATGTCGGCCCGCGCACTCACTCACTCACTCGCATGCACCGACTCTATACCTGGTTCACAGCATTATTCTCATCGGCCGCTGCTGCTGCTGCTGCTTCTTCTTCTTCTTCGCCGTTGCTGTCGTCTTGTATACTTCTTTTTTTCACTTCAGCTACTGTGTATCTGTCGAGCTGAGGCAGTCGTCGACGCGTCGCTGCCGCCAGTAGCGAACTTATGAAGGGCCACTTCTCCGCGATTCAATGCGTGCGGCGCGCTCAAGAGGCTTTACGACGTACTCGTTGGGAGCGTGATCGAAGATGCCAGGCTCCGAGTCAGCCGACGAAACATTACATCGAGCAAGGATTCGCGACGATCGATCGATGGCTCGTCGAGCACTGCATCGTCTTCCGCACTTTTTTCGGCACTTTCAATTAGCTAATTACGTCGTTAGCTATTTTTTGTTTGCAGTCATCGGAGAGTCACGAGGAAGCCAGGAAATTTCACGAGTAGCGAGATGAATAAAAAAACTCGTTGTTTTGCGAATCTGCGACGCTGCGGCGATCGAGTAAATTACTGAATTTTGGAAAAATCGGTGATCCAATAGCAGTTCGGGGCTCGCTGTTGGCTCGCGGATTCGCGCCCAAAGGGTCGAGAAGAGCTATGCCAGTGGCAGCAGCAGCTCAGAGCTTGGGCCGAGCGCGCGAACAACTGCTGCGAAGGTGCGCATCGCTGCTAGCTACCCCAACGAGCTCCGCTCGTGCAGCTGGCGAATGACGGACGACGACGAGGAGAGACGCAAGCGCTTCTTTGCTTCCATCTACCGCGCCGCTGCTCTCGATTTACGTATTCGCTAGTTGGTCGCGTTGCAGCCGATGCGATAGCTGAATGACGCGGCCAAGCGACCCACCGATTCGACCGAGCTCGACTCTACCTGCACTTCTGTCGCGATTCGATGGCACTGCTTCTTATAGGACTACTTTGTGCTATTTCGCTCTGACACGAGTGTGAATGATCCGACTCGTGGCTTCGTTCCTTCGATTCTTTTTTCATCATTTATTTCCTTTATATTCTATTCGTCTCACGAAAACTATTTTATTTTCACTTCAAATCATATTTTCTCGTTTTTTTTCGCGATTCCTCAATCGACATTTTTATATTTTTTGAGAATTTCTAAAAGTAAGTACATGTTCCAAGTCTATAATTTTCCCAGTTAGAATGAAATAATTTGTGGAATTATCGTTTCGCACACTCGAAGCAATTTCAATGTTTTAACCAAGTACTAGCTATTACGAAGCAATGTAAAATAAGATTACGCACGACGGACGGTAGGAGTGGTAGAAATTGAAGGATGCAATGCGATGTAATACTTTGACGCGAATAGTCGCGTCAGAGGTAGAAAAGGAGCAGCAGCGACAAGTTGACGGTAGGCCAAGCGAATGTGTACACGCGCAGCCTGTCGATCCTCTTGTCTATCCCTCTTCTTTTGTACCGGTTAACCTCGTTCCCCGGAAACATTGCTTGGAGGGTCAAAAAGTGAAAATTGCAGTCGTCGACATGGTGCTCAGGCTCTTTTGCCGTTGCTTCTGTTCATCGTCGCCTTCGCCGTCTTCTCTTCTTCTTCTCCTCCTCTTTTCCACTCGAGAGTTGTCAGTACTGCCGGCTTGCTGCCCCACAGCAGCAGCTCGACGACTCGAATTGCTCGAATGCGGCAGATTCTCGCCTTTGTTTCGTTTTTCCCTTTATCCCTGTGTGCGTGTGTATGTGAGAGAATAAGACAGGCGACATCTTCCTCCGGAATTGTGTCGGTTCCCTGTACAGTAGCAGCATCTTTTCTTTTTTCTTTCTCTCTGGGTCTGCCACTTCTCTGCTACTGCTCGCTCGTTCGGTCGACCGCTTATATACTTCTTAACTTTCAGCGCACGTGTACCTCCTTGCATCGTAGACTTTTCGAGCTTGTTTGCTTTTCTGCTCTACGCCTACGCGATACGTAGTAGGAGATTCGCAACAGGCTTACCTCGGCTCATGGGGCTTCCAATAGTGAATTCGTGATCGAGCAATGATTGATTCATTGATTGCCAATGATCGATCGGTCGGATGAACTACCGAACGATTGCAAATTTGAGTAGGAAAGTCGGCCACCCCTAGAATAAATCGGCCCGCAGATTCGTAAAATGAAAAATAGCTACGAAGCGATTTGGATCAAGTCAAAAATCGGGTCCGACTTTAGGAATAACGATGTACGTGATATCGATTATCGTCAATATATACATGTATAAAAATCGAATGCAAAGCATCGACGTATCAGCAGTAGTCATTGCAATATAGGCACGAAGCTCGTGCGCTCGCAGCAGATTCGGCCAAGAGTCGCCAAGGAGGAGGAGCTTCGCAAGCTCGCACGGATACATATAGATAGGAAAGGAGGCGGGAGGAGCGTGTGGCGCGTCGCGTGCGCTGCGAGCCAAAAGTGTGCCGAGCGCGACTGCGCGACCCGTAGGCAGCTGCATTACGTGCATATAACTAGCTGGTCGAGTGGCCACTCGCGTGCAGCGCCAACTGCTACCTCCTATCGCCGCGACTCGCTTCTATAGCCGATGAAAATTTGCAACTGCAGCACGAGTCCGACAAAAAAACAGCCGGTTGACGCGCGAGAGCCGATGCTAGCTGCGCGCCAATGACGCGATCCGTTGAACCTCTTGCATCGATAAGGCTTCTCCCTGTGCCAACGAATATTCTCTCGCTCTTTTTGAAAATGTTCCACGAACCAGTTTGAAAAATCGATTATTGCCTCGTAGGCTCGGCCCAGCTCTTGCAATAAAACCTATTCATCGTATTTCTGACCAGTTGAAATTGTCATCTGCGACGATTTTGAGATTTAGCCGCGAGCAGCGCGCGAGTATTATATTCAATGAAGCCGCTATTCAGCCACGTACATAATGTGTTGTACGAGGAAGGCCCGCGCACTCTTTGATACAATGTCCCGCAATCACGAGGTCGACGCAGTTAGGGTGCAGGCGCACTTTCAGCAGCCCCAGCCGAGTATGGATAGCTCAAGCGTAAAAAGTAGAGGAAAGAGATCATTAATCGACGCTTCGTCGAGTACCGCCACTGCTACTCGATCTTTGCCTTCTTTATATACTCTGCTATAGACTTGCTCCTCCCCCCCTCCCTCCCTCCCTCCCTCCCTTTCACCTACACACACATATATACCCACTCTCATATCGACACTCTTGTACTTGCAGGTCGTTGTCGTCACTGGGGCTTGACTTTATATTTTTTTTCTTTCAAAGGGCCCGAAGCTTTTTTGCCCATATCGTGTTCCCCATTGGCTGAGAGGCAAATTTTACAGTCTTATTCGCATAGGCATTTAATTGGTGACGATGATTAAGTAGGTGAAACGAGTGAGTAATTGCGTTTGCTGCTTTGGCAAAACTGTGTCTATGAGTTTCTTCTTTTTTCTTTTCTTTTTTTTTTCGTATCGAGTTCGTGACTTAGATATGCTAAGTCACAATTTTTTCAAGTGATTTGAACGCGTTTATACGTACCTACGTTTGGCAGGCTAAGCGATCTTGTCCTCGGCTGAACGATAAAATCACGCCAAGTAACGAAAAAGAAAAGCACCAACGACGCTTTCAATATTTTGACAATGCGGCATTAATTGCTTTGCTCGAATGCCGCAGTAATGCGTCGTTTCGTTCCACTCCAGAGAGGATATCCTTTTTTGGCGTTGAATAAAATTCGTCTAGCAAGTCAAATTAAATATTGCAATGTAACTTTTAATATCGTTAAAAATACATAATTTGTGGAATAACTAAAGACTTGACAAAAAAAATTAAACTTTATTGAATTTCAGATCACAGGATAGCTTGGTGCACACGGCCTTGCCGTCGTCGTTGCAAACGCAGGAATTGCAGTCGTTGGCCACTATAGAGCCTGGTAAACATTTCTCGATGGTATTCGTAGCTAAAAGTTAAATCGTCGAATTAATTGGTCTTGCGTTGTAGGTAGTTATTTTTGCAATATTAAAATTGATGCTTACGTTCGCTATTTTCACCACACTCGATTCCAACGCAAAGGGCATAGGTACCGCTATCACCGCAGTAGCATTCTTGACAACCACTTTCGTATTTTTTCTTTGGTTCGCAGCTCGTCGTTACGTCTAAACAAAAACAATTATACTCGTAAAATTTCTGAACAAAAATGAAAAAAAGAACTTGGAAAATTCGGACATACTTGTAAGAGATTCGTGATAGACCGGGTAGAAGGGACTGCATCCCATTTTGTTGCAGTAAGATTCTTGACCATCAAGTGTACAGTCGCAATCGTTGCATTGCAATACGTACGAAGTATCGGGTACGCAAATAACTTCTCCATTTGGACTACTTCCGCTATAGGCCAAATCGCAATCTAATTTTGTGCAGACAGGTTTGCCGCTTTCGTCGCAAACGCAAGTGTTGCAGTCGTCGTTCAATATGCTTCCAGGAGTGCACTGATTTAATAATTCTGCACGTGAAAAATTGGTGAACTAGCTAAAATAGTTTTAGAGAACGAAAACAAATGTAAAATGAATAGTTTACCTTTGGTTTGCTCATCTGTGCACTGTTTATGGCTGTAGGTGCAAAGGGCCGATGATCCTTCGGCGTCACAGACGCACGTGTGCGAGCAGTCGAGATCGAATAGGGAAGCGGGCTCGCAGGTAACATTGACGCTTTGCAATTGAGTCACTTGGAGCTCATCTTTGTATTCGTTCACGCGATCTTTGCACTCGATCTCGTTCGTTTCCTTACTGCACGTGCATATGCGATTGTCGTAATAGAATCTACCTTTGAAGGGACATTTTTCTTCCACTGCTTCTGGCGTAGAGCTGGATAAAGCAATGTTCAGGACTAGTGCAAAAGTTAACAAAGTCGCTAGAATATTGGCCATAGTTTTGTATTTTGAGCGCAATGATCGACAGATTACTGGTGAGACTACTAGTTTTTTCCTTAGAAATAATATAGTATTTATAAGTCGTGCCCAAGAGATAAGACTTTCGAGCGTGGCAATAGTGAACGACGTAATTTTACGCGCTTGTTTTATTGTATTTGTAATCATCAAAAACTGTGCAGAGGTCTAAAAGGTAATAATTTCATCATTATAAAATCCACAGTTGATAAGCTCGGTTATAAATGAAAATTTAAGTTTAAGTCGAGTTTTTTCGAAGAAATTGTCGGCCAATTTTGTATATATTCTGCTAAATCACGTACTGACGACACGTGTGTGCGTGTGTGTAAATCATGCGTGTTTCGGCATTTCAAAATGTACACGTGCGTGTCTCAATGAGAATACAAAATCAACTCTTTTCAGAAAATTAACAGAAACTGATGAAAACGATGAACCACATCCATACAAAGTACTTTACCACACTAAAACGTGTCGAGTATCTTGATTTACACTCGCAAAATAATTTGTACGTCGCTCATTCCGATATAAAACAATAGAAAAAAGGTGAAAAAAGGAGTCAAATTGGAGCATCTCCCGCCTGATGACGTTGGTAGACTACTTTGTAAAACAGCCGCGACCGAAACATTAGAGATAGAATAAGGAGAGAGAGAGAGAGAAAGTAACTGCTGTTATCCTCTTGAGATTTTTAAAGGTAGCTAAGGCCAGCAGTTGACGAAGAATACAAAAAAGGGCTGTGCTTTGAGTCGAGCAATGTGCCGACACATTGCGTCAATCTCATTCGTATAATAGTACAAGTACTTTGAGTGCACATGAACGCGAGTCGTTTGATGTTTTTTTTTGTGGAAGAATTCTATGCACCGTTTATGTTGCGTTAAGAAAATGAAACAAAAGTATAGTTCACACCGAAAAGAGCTTTTAAATAAAAAAACATTAGATTCGCAATTCAAGTCCTAAATAGCAAACGATTGCGACCGCAGGGAAATCATAGGCAATTACATACAGTTAATCAATTGCGGAAGGCACATTCTGTGCGAGCATTGATTCTCGCCAAAGGCATAACATTTTGTAACGTTGCAACTTTTTGCTCGAAAGTTCGTGTGAAAAGCTGTGAAATTGATCGAGTTCACTGTAAAACATCGATACATCGCTCAACGTCTCGCGTATCAATTGCGAAGAATATCGAGAGGGATTTTAGGCCACAATCCTGAGTTTAACGGACATGATTACAGTGTCGCAGCTTTCATCGATCTATGAAAAATGGCAGAAAACGATTGAATCTGTCAAATTACAGGCGACACGAAACGATCTCGGATAAAGATGTGTCCCGTAGCTATATATAATGCAGTGAAGGAGACAAGCAGTCGTCGAGGGAATTTTCGCGTGCGTCAGCCCTTTTGTGTATACAGATGCCAAAACGATACAAGAGGTTCGCGATGAGGGTCGACGGAGGCACAAGGCACAGAGCTATCTAACGATTGGAAGTTATGTTTAATTGCCATTAAACGAACCGATTGTTGTATTAAACAATGCATGTTAAGATTTTCTCTGCACGAAAAAGACGAAAATCGAGCTTTGGTCTTTTTTGTGTATCACGTCATTACGTTAGATTATATATCTCGGGCAATTCGCAATCGCTGCAGTGTACTGACACACAAAAGTTACGACACTCGGATGACGGGCACGTTGGCCAAGTTTTCAAGAACAAGAAGTGAAAAAAAATTGTATATAATAACAACGTTGCAAGGTAAAAGAAAAAAAATGTCACCCGCGCGCTGGCCTCTGATCATATACATATATACAAGAGAAGAACAAGACGATCGAAGAATTGGAGTTTCGAGACTTTCTAAGACGATGCACGATAAGCACGCTCGCTCCTCTTTTTTCCATCCTAGTCGCAGCAACATACGCTGATGATGTTTTTTTTTCTTTTAGGAGCCTATTTGTAGGCGTGAGTATTGGATATGCATGTTGAGCTGCCTTTATTTAATATTGACGAAATGACGCCCTCTATTATGTTTCATGATGGGCGAAAATCAATTTTTTTTCTAATTTTTGAATTTTGATTACTTTACTTTTAGTAATTTTCGTTTGTTTAACCTGCGGAAAGATTCAATGAGAAGGAGCTTGGAGTTGGTTTCTATAAAAAACGAGCTTTTTTCATATTGGACAGATGAAATTTATTTTTAACTATTGATTTATGCTACTGATCCTATATTTGTATAGATAACGTACAATTATATCGATAATTATGCATGAATCCGTAGTTGTGTCGTAAATTCTGTTGCTTTTTGAATTTTTTTTTCTGCGTTATCGACTCTTCAAGTTGCATAATTACTTCCTTACTTGTGTTATTATCAAATAGGCAAAATTCACTTGTACAGTATAGATTTTATTGCACATTCATTTCCAAACTAAAATAGTTAACATTATTGTTTGATTGTCGTCCTTTGAAAACAACGATGAGGCCTTGGTGTATGTAGTTGTGACAAATGAAAATCAAAACGTTTCAATGCTGTGATTGGTGCATTACCAGTTTTTTATTTGATTAACATTCGAAAATTATTATTATACGCTTTGCCTATTCGACCACAACTTTTCAATTGTGTGATTTTGATAGACTTCATCTGGAGTGATATTAAAACCTTCCTACTTAATTGTAATATAAATAAATATATATATTTTTAAATCTTCGTTTTACAGGGTCGATGCGACAAGTTCAATAAGATTTTGATTCAAATTTATATCGTTTATAGATGAAGCTTTGCATACAAGCGAATAACAATGACAAAAAATTGCATTTACACTCTCGATATTCATTGAAATTATAAAACAATTCACGGTAAAAGTAATACTCTAAATACGTGCGTTAAGAATAATAATTTTTTTTCATTTCATTACAATATATTTTATATAACTTATTGAAATACAAAAAAAATATAGGATGCGGAATGTGTTTCCCGTTGAAAATTCCCAGTTACATATATATATAATAGGAAAATCAATTTTCAGTTTATTTCTTAAAGAGAAATGTAGAAATATACAAATTATAATTAAAACTTAAACTTTAAAGAGCGAAAAATTGCACATCTCTGTAGATAACGAATTACTAATCACAATAGCAAATAATACCATAATTATTTTATTGCCTATCGTAAGCAGTTAAGTCATTAAACATACTTTTTTTATAAATTTTGGCAATTAATAGTTAAATTATACCATTTTGATACAAAATCTATGTGTTACGCGATACTTTAATAAATAATAGGATTTATCAATCAACCCTGTTTCAATGGTTGGTCAAAAATAAAATTATATTTTTGAACTATTATTGATGTACATTGTACTAATAAATAATCTATATATTCATAAATATAATTATAAAAGTAATACAATAAAACATATATGTTTCTATTTATATATTCATCTGCATTTGTATAAATAGTCTCGACTCGAATAAAAAAGTGAATCGTATCCTGGAAATTTTTAACGGGATTGTTCTTCGCTCTATGTATACACATTTATATTATAGGACGTAACAAACCAATGGTACATGTACATTTATTCATTTATAATAACTTTTTTCATACCACTATCTATTATAATCAATTATCACCTCACACGCTACTTTATGAAAAAATTTTCTAATACATATCTCGCTCACACTGGCCAATTATATTTATTTTCTCATTATTCTCACTTGTTTATATTAATATTTAGCCGATACTTGTATCATCGAACACATATATATACATAATAATTAATATAATGCGAATACTTTCTCACTGCGATTAGCTTTGAGGTGGTTTGTTTCGAAAAATCCAGGATTCATCATTAACAAAATGATTGATTTCTTGTAATGTTTATACTACGGTATTATTAAAGATGTTTGATTCCGTCTTATGATGGCACTGACTATTACATTTTTACCACACAAGTATGCATCAATATTGAAAAAAGATTTTTCAAGTTAAATAAAATCTTCATTCTTTAACTTGTGAAGTATATCAAATCATCATATTTTTGTTTTGTTTTCGTCACAAACCAGCTTTGTTTAAAAATCAGAAAAATCACAGTAGATGGCAATGGCGATGCCACAAACGTTTTATTAGCATGGCCTTGATAAAAAAAGTTTTTTCTCTCTTCCTCTCTCTTGTAATACATATATTTATACCTTATCACATAAATCCCGACAATCATACATTACGTAATAATAAACTTATCAGTATTATTTTTATAAAGTTAAATAATTTAACAATTAAATAATTTTCTTCGAGGCCATATTAATAAAGCAAACGCCATCTATATCGATGGATTTTTAAACAAAGTCATAGTCGCATTACGCTAAATATTCAAAATCAAGACAATGTGCAGTCCAGAGGATAAAAAGTAATACACAATAATCTTTAGGAAAGTTCATCGAATTACTCGTTCCTAAATGGAAGAGCTCAAAGGACATCCTCTTGTCTTACAAAAGAGCTATTCTACCTTACTATTTTTCTAACTATTTTTATTCATAGTATATCATTATATAGTTATATATTCTTTTGGTGGAAAAGTTATAAAGAAACTTCTTAGCAACGGGATATATCGGGTCCCTGGTAGAAATGAATACCTACTTGGCCAAAAACGAGCCGGTTATTGCCAATTTTTATTGGTCTACATAAAACTTATTGGCCAGTTAATAGCCAAAAAATTAATTCGTTTCTACTTGGGTTGTTTCCCGGTCATCATTTTCTTTAGTCTCTACAATATAGGATTGAGATAAAAATTGAGTTTCAATTAATTCTGGTATGAATAGTTAGGTAATAATTTCTAAAATTGTATTTTTTCTCGAAAAAAAAAACAACAAAAAAGTTAGTAATACTCTGATGTACCAAGCGATGAAAAAGGCGTATGAAAGTATTTCTCAATATTAATATAAAGTTTCATAATTCATTTAGCGCGTATACAACTCTGCCCTGATCAATTCATTGTTATATCTTATTTTAAATCAGATTCTCTTATGTAATACTTTCGATCAAAGAGCCACAATTACACATCTTATCATTCACATTAATTTCGTAATATTATATGTACATGCAATTACTCTCCTTTTCCACGATCATTATTTTGAGACACCTGATGATTTAATGACTTATTGCATGTAAAAGTCAGGATGGTCCGAATCTTTTTCAAACCTCTTGGCTTCTTCCTGCATACTTTCCTTGATTTTTAATATAGCAGCTGACTCGTTCTGATCCTGCGGATAGAAATATTAAGTAGTAATGAATATATATTTATAGTGCAGCCTACATATGTCGAGCCGGATCCCGTTGAGGGATAACTTTTTTTTATTGATTTCATTTGAAAATTAATGAAAATGATAATTTGGGATGTATGAAACATGCTTATTTCTTCTTACTTCCATGTGTTTTCATTATTCAATCATTGATATTTTCAACATTCCAGCTAGATTCTGATGATGACATAATGCATTAAAAGTAATTATTTGAATCATTACAGTACTCGATGAATTTTTGTACAAAAAATAATCTTCAATGAACAGCCACGATTATTTTCATTATGGGAATCAAAACACAATGTGCAAAGTGGCTCAGAAAAGAAATTGTTCAAAAATGTAATGTAATTTTCCGACATTCAAATTTAATTTAAGAGTACCTTACACCTCTAAAATGGAAAAAAAAATTTTTCGAAGAGTTTTTTTTTTTTAGAATAAAACAACATAGCTCAATGAAAATTGTTGCTCATACTTCATTGACCTTTTATAATACATAAAAAAAATTTGTTTTATTTCTCGTCACCTAGTATCGTCTGCCATAATTAATTTAAAAAAAGCACTCACACAAAAACGGAGCTCACGTGATAATAGAAAAACCATTAATTTGAGCGTTTTTAAATTTTAAGACATCAATCTGCACGCGTTACTGCTCAGAATAAACAAGAATAAACAAGAATAAAAAACATTGGTTAAAAAATATCGAAACGGCGGCGTTTTTTTGACAATTGTTTATATCTCCAAAAATATTATGCCGAGTTTTTCCATTTTAGTTTATTCTGAGCAGTAATACGTGCAGATTATTGCCTTGAAATTTCATGACGATAAAATTAATGGTTTTGTCTATTATCGTGTGCGCTCCAGTTTTTGTTTTTTGAGTAATTATAGCAAATGACACTGGGTGATAAGGAATAAAACAAACATTTTTTTATGTGGTATAAGATCAATAAATTATGTGCAAAAAATTTCAGTGAACTATGTTGTTGTATTCTATTAAAAACACTCTTCGAAACATTTTTTTTCTGCTTCAGAGGTGTAAGGTCCCGTTAATATGAAAACTGTTTTTTCGTAAGCAAGAATATGCAATAATAATGTGTTTACTATAATTTATTGTATGTCTGAATTCATTTATAACGCTAAAATAAAATATGATTTTCAATATATGATAAGTTTTTAGTAATATAAATGCTAAAAGTGCTTTTATACTACAAACTAATTGAAAACATGTGTCCATTGGTTAAACATTCATAAGCAGTAATAATTAAGGAGTCTAGAACTACGAACGAAAAAATGATAGATGATGTACAAACAGAAATGTGTCAATTATAAGAGTAACAAAAAATTCCTCGCTTTCTTGGCTTTAATTTGTACTTTGTACAATGCATGATTATTAAACTTGATTAATTACACAAATCACCCATTCCAACACCGTTTGAGTGATGAAAATACTTGATGCGTATAAATAGCACTGAAACGTTGACTGGGCACCATATGCAACATGGCACTTGTGCTTTCAACCGAGTGTGGATTACACAAAATAAAAACGTATATTAAAACAAGTGCTATGTGTGCGAGGATTATTGTATTTCTTCTAAATAATTCAAAATAATATTAATGATAATAATACTGGTAATAACAATTATAATAATATTAATATAATCAGTGAAGGAATCATTAAGGATGTGAAAACAAATGATCGATGAACCAGGGTGCTCTGACCCACAACACATGGACATTCGAATGATAATTTTCGTCAGGTCATCAAAAAAGTAAAATAGTCAAAAAATTTGATAATTTGAAACGAATAGTTAAAAATCCTCTTGTAGAAATCTATGCAAAAAAGTTCTCTCTCTCTTTTAAACATTTTCCTCTTTGTTGGTATATGAATCCCACAATGCAGAAACATACACTCACCTCAACATTTGTTAATTTTAAAATGTTCAAGCATAATAAAAAAAAGGATAAAATATGCATTTTTAATTGAATTCAAACGAATTACATGTATTGTTGACTAGATTTTTCTAAAACTTCATTTCGCAAACAGTCCGCATTGTATGTACTCTATTATTTCATAATCATCATTAATAATTGTCGTCTTTAACGCATCCATGTGCTACAGGTCAGTACAGGCTATTTCTACATTTTATACAGCTACCAGAAACTTTTTCTCATTTAAACTTATTAGAATTCTTTAAAAATTAAGAAAACCCTATGAAATTGTTCTTAAACTAGACAAAGTACATAATGTAATAACGAAAAAGATTACTGGCAGGTGCCATGTATTAAATCCGAATATAGCCAGCACCCCTTAAGGGTTGATTCATGAGATAAATAAAAACCAAAACTCAATAGATTTCGTATAACAGGATTACATTTATTGTCTCGATTTTTTCCCTTGGCAAGTTAATCATATAAAATCATTAACCTATTCATTCAGGTATTATAGTACAATTTACAACGTGAAAACACTCAAGTCAAATTATTATAAAAAAAGAAGTAACGATAAAAAGGTACCAAGGCGCGTATTATATATAATGTGTCAGTGTTAGAAAAAGTGCAAGTTACGAGATGCTAAACCGTTGAATTAAGTCAAAGGCAAGATAATGACTGGCAAGATAGTTGTATTTTTCATTCAATCACATTGTTTTAATGTTATGAGTTTAAAAAATAAAGCACGAACCTTGGAACCTATAAGTATTTTAATCGGCAGATACAATGATGCCGACGCGTAATTAAATAACTATAAATTTACGTATAGTATTTTATTATTGACTCATTTGAAAGTTATGTACACGCACCAGCGTCAAGCCGAATATACCTTTTTCCTTAAATATATATAAATTTTCATATTTATATATTAATATCTATTTATATAGAGTACAAAATATATATCAGTGATATATATTAAATATAAGTGATAAATGATCAAAAATAAATACATTCCACATCCGCAATCTACACACTCAACAAGAAAAAACCTTGAAAGCCGTGTATAGAAATTAAACCCCCACATTTGAGTAATAATATAAGCATTTTTCAGACAATTAAGAAAGAGCACCATTTATACTTATATAAAGTTACTAAAATTGTTTTTTGTTTATTTATTGCGCGAAATGAAGAAAGAAAAAAGCGCATAATATGGCGTGTCGCTGGCTTGACTTGAAAAAAATAAATAAAAATAATGATAAAAACCGCTGCGATTTACAATGTCGATTTAGTTAATAGTCAATTTTTTATGATTTCAGGGATAACTTATTCAAAAGAAACTAATAGCAGCATAGCATAGTCCAGTACTGACCTATAACCACCTGCAGGTAGACAGACTTTTGTTTTTTTTTGCTTTTATTAAGCTCAGTTTTTTAAAACAAACATTAATCAATCGTTACGTACATTTTTATAGCTTGGTTCGATAATATATTTTGTCATTGCATTTTAGGTTCAGTACTCTACTTATACTACCTACCCTTGTATTATAAAAATAGATCCTATATGTACACCGATGATTTGATAATAAAACAGCGAATATTTAATTTTCATCACGTCATCATTTGAAGTAATAAATAATGACCAAGTAATAATTAAAAAACCTAACTTATATCATATCGCAGTTTATATTAAGTACATGTATCTTCGTGTGATTTGATTTTAAATTACTTGTAGTCTCAGTCATTGAAAATTCGACGAAAGTTACCAAAATAATTTTTATTTTGTCTATAAGTATTCGAAAAATCGAAAATTCATTGAAATATGCATGTTTGACAGCAAATCAAAGCTGATTGCTCTGTCAATATATAACTAATAAGACCTAAAAAAAGAAAATTAATTATTACTTGATAAGACCTAATCACAGAAGACTCAAACAGCCTTTTAAATTTCACCAGGCACCTTAGTTTTTATTAAAATACTTTTCGATGATTAAAAAATTTGTTAAGATTAAGTAAAAATGTATCAATACATATACATCATAAATGTATATATTATATTTAAATTCAAAAAATGGACATTTAAAGCTTATAGAGTGTGAAATTATTATTTCACTCTAAAACTGAGCTTGAAATCAAATGAATACAACCATCGAGTTGCGAATCAATCAATAACTTTTAAAAACTAAGAAGTTTTTGACTTCTATGAGTATTTTTTATTTTATTTGATAAAATTGTATGGCTTGATTTTAAATTAAAAAAATCATTTTTTTCATGATTTATTTTTGAAAATTAGTATAACTACTTAAACTAACCTAACCTTAAATTGGATAGGTGCGCCTGACAACAAATGCAATGAAACTTATTAATATACTTACTTTTAAAAAAGAACGCGATAACAATAATATAAGAATAAAATGAATTCATTCGATAGCTGCTTTAATTCGATCACTCGACTGTTTTATCATTAATTTGTGTGTATTCGGCGTCAAATGGTGTTGAATTGCTGAAATTACGTTGAGTGATTTCAACATTGTATTAGTCATGCTCGCGATTAATGAAGAAAAATTTAATTTTGAAAACTACAAACTTAATTTGTAATTAAGAATCCAAACGAACTTTCAACATTGCATTTTATGCGATACTATTATTTCAACGCCATGCGACCCAAAATATAATGATTGATGCGCATTAATCATTTGCTTTTTCGATTTTCTGTCAATAAGTTTCTGTTATTCTGACATTTTCAATTATATTGATAGATAAACTATATTTGACCGATTATCCCTCGTATTTTCTGTTTTGTTTTCTCCGAATCTGCATTATTTGCTTTCTACGGATGCTATCCTCGGTTAGTTGCGTCCTGGTTGCGATTTTCGTTTAAAAAAACTGTCGACAATACAGAACATGCAATGCGATTAAAAAACTTTTTGCTTATAAAATAACTCAGTTCTTGAGCAATCTTAAAGACTAAAAATGTTGGAGAGAAAATAGGAAGTAAATAGAGGAAAATGAACGAAAAAAGCCTATTCAATGATAATTGATATTTATCTTGAGAGGAATAGATGTTTTATACAAGCGAATGAGAATAGAAGCGCTGAAAGTGACAATGATGAATTTCAAGTAAAAAACTTGTATAATCTGTCGAAAAATGAAATTTAGATTAACTGATGTGAAATAAAAAAAAAATAATAAAAAAACAAGTTTAATATTCCAAAAAAGTTTTGCATACAAGGACCTTAGTCAAAGCACAAAAAGTTTATATATTGCACTAGTGTCGTAATTTATAGTTGGTTAGTGAGTAAAAAATAAAATTCTTTTTAAGCATTTTTGGATAAAATAAAAATTGAAGCATTTCCCATTTATTGAGATCATTCAATTCCCATGTTGAGTGGATAGTGAGACACTTTATTAAATAGGTGGTTCTATGTAAGCTACAAAAACAAACAGTCTTTCAGGATTGATAATCGTGATACTTGTAGCTAGTGCAAATTATATACAAAGGTATGATTTGTGCTCAGATAAACTTAATAACTCACGTTTTCGCCGGGGCCACCGAAGCCGCCTAGATTATAATCACCCATACCGCTGCCGCTGTCTTCTCGCGGCGTACCTGGGCCACCGTTGGCCGGGGAATTTTTCATACCATCAAGCCCGTCACCATTAAGCACTGGTCCCATTGTGTTGGGACCCATTGGACCCATCGGCCCACCTTCGGGACCACCGCTCATTGGAAAATCCTGAGAGATTTTCAGAGTTTTGATTAATGTCAGTACCGCTAATAAAATATGACATAAATTAATAAGTACTCACGCCAGGCATATTTCCTCCAGGAACTGGTTTCATCATAGTGTACATATTTTCGCCACCGCTATTGCTACTGTCTTGAGGACTCGGCATTATTGGCGTACCCGGTCCTGGTGGTCCGCTAGAACCTGGTGGGCCGCCATAATTTCCAGGTGACGACGAGGAATAGTTCATTGGCTGATGGAAATTAATTCATTAAATCGTTCAGATAATAAATTATGTATATATTGTGTTTTAAAACTTACTGTCGATGTATTAGGCTGCCATTGAGGTCGACCGCCAGGTCCAGCCATACTCATCGGTGGCATACCGGCGCCTCCAGGGCCACCTGGTGCAAGATTGCTATTAGGCGGTGGTCCTCTCATGCCTGGGCCATAAGTACCAGGTCCCATTGGTGGCATACCTCCTGGTCCACCTCTCGGATGGTTCATGCGTGGATTCATCGGATTCATACCCGGCGATCCTTTTGTAAAAAAATAATGTCGTTAGTATTCAAAGACTGTAAGAGTAATTTGTGATTTGTGTTTTGAGTTTTTTTGGCGAAAGTGAATGAGCGTTATTCGCTCTCTATAAACTAAATTATTTAGAACGTCTAGTTGGCCATTTATGTGGGTTAATGACGTTTTAATTGAACATTTACAATGACTAGTTTTTGTTGAGCAGGATAAAACTTACTATGAACTTTTACTTAAAACTAGTTCAGTTGATTAATTATTCAATCATTTATTCTGCTCATTTGAATAATAAATAAAAGCAAAGCTCATGATTTCGCACATGCTGGTGAAACAACATTTGATAATGTGCAGAAAATTTGGTGCAAGGCAGGTGCATGTGGTGAGTTTGCATTTCGAAGCTGCATCACCTATGCCTTAATCATTAGAACATCAAAATTATAATACGTGCTCGAAATGCAAAGCAGTCTAAAAAACTTCTTTGAATGAATTTGGTTGCAAAAGAAAGTTATTTTAGGTTTTTTATTTGAGTGTAATGGTGCACCAATACAATGGAGTGGAAGGCGTTTTCATATTGATTTTAGTATAATCAATTTAATTTTTTAATAAAATTAAGCTAGTATCAATCGAAAAACGTTTCCTAGTGAATTTCATGAGTCTAGTTCAATTAGTCACATTTATAAGTCACAAGTAAATAAATTGAAAGTATTTTTCAAGTCTGTTAAATAATTGTAATATTGAGATGTTTGGCAATGTAATAAATTAATCATACTATCATGCTTGATGACAATAAAAATAACTGATAAATATGCGCAAAAACATTTTGAAAATTGCTTATGCATTTTACGAAATGAGGAGATAAACAAATTTTTAATAAATCTTTCGAAACATATATCCATATGTATAAGAGAATGAACAAATAATAAATGTTAAAAAAATGATTAGTGACTAAGTAAAATAAAAATAGAAAAAAATAAACAATTGAATATGTAAACAAAGCCAGTCTTTTTCTAAGTTAAGTCAAGGTGTTTCAATTTGTTGGGTTGCTTCCTACCTTGCCACCCTACAAATTCTCCAGCTTCGCCTGAGAAACACAAGAGCACACATTAGTACGGCAGGTAGGTCAAAAAGATCAGATCAATGGCGAATAACAAAAAGCTTCAAGTTATTTTTACAGTGGCACAGACGAAGTCGAAATTGTATTATTTTTTTACGTATGCTCATTACGAGTTAAAAATTTTATTTGCTTTCCTCAAAAAGTAATGTAAATTTTTAAGCTACCTAATATCTACTCGAAAATTTTTTAAAAATTTCAATACTTCTGTTTCTACTCAGAATAAAAAAAATCAAAATAAAAAAATTATCAGTTAAGAGTTATAAGTGGTACTTATTTTTCCAAGTATAAGTATATATTAATGGTACCACTGGATAATAAATTTGCCACTAAAATATTTCACAAATCAGTCCACTCCACATCACAGCAATCCAATCCAAATATATATGTAATAAAACACTTCCTCAAATTAATTACTCAATTATTGCTGTGTGGTTTCTGATACGCATGCTTCTATGATAATTATATAATGCCATTCTCCTTTTTTGCAAAGTTTTTTAAATGCCAATAAAACTTCAATATAAACAAAACTTGAACTGAGATACCTTACCTTGTCTCGTGGGGTCCATGCTATTTGGCATCATTGGTTGACCTGGAGGCTATGATTAGAAACATATTGTTTAGAATATTTCGAAGGCATAAGAATCGATGAGGCTAACAACGATCAATTAAAAACTCACCCCATTGAATTCGTTACCCATTTGAGGCATTCTCACGTTTGGTCGTGGTCCAGCTGGATATCTCGGACCCATGAACTGCATTGAACAATTTGAATAGTATTAAAATTAAATTTATTTAATCTGTTTGAAAATCATAAGCAAACCAAAATCTAGTATAATAAACACCGCAATTTTAATAAATCAAGTGAAGCTGACGCAAAATTTTCTCTAATAAATTTAAATTTGTTATTTATCACGGTTAAAAAGAGGCGCATTACCTAAAAATAATCGAAATAAAGTATGTTACATGCAGCATTTTTTTAAATTTCAATTATATTGTTGAATTATTGCAGGAATAATTTTGAATATAAAAAATAAAAGTAACCAACAAATAAACGGTAAAAACAAAAGCCTTGACGTAGAAAAATATTGTAAACATTAAAATGCACAATCATTAAAGAGTATAATAAAACATCAAAATAGATTACACAAACATTAAAAATGATCACAAGCGCAAAAATTGATAGGTCACTGACATTCAATGATAAATGTTATAGCTACAGAGGTTAATCATTAAGGATTTTTGAATGAGCCTGCTTACCTGTGTGGACATCATCTGTGAATGCGGGGGTGGGGGTGGCTGTGGGTGCTGGGGAGATGGCTGTGAAGAAGGGTGTGTGGGCGGAGATGGTCGCATTGTCGAATTATTCTGGAACAAGCAAAAAAAAAGTCGCGCACAATGAAGAGACATATAAACTGGCATATAAACTATTTAGATGTATTAATTGAAAATTGGTTCAATTATTCCATGGTATCCTAATCCTAATATGGGAATGATTCACATTCAAGTATAGGTATGATTGAACCAAATGTTGGGGTAAAATTCAATCTCAGAGTTTGGTTTGAGTATTTTTTTTCAAAATTCATTGAAATATTAAAATGACATTTAGTGATATAAACCAGTAACTGTCTTTTAGAGTTATCCTTCAAATCTCGAACTGAAATGAATTCAATTGTTTTCATATTTTTAAATTTTGATTTTAGTTCTTGTCTTAAAATTTGACGTTAGTTTAGTTAAGATTTTATTTATGTATGTGAATGATGCCAGTGAAACGTTTATACGCCAATGCACATTATAATAGTTAGGCAAATTTAAAATCACAGAGAAAGTATAATATGAATGGAGTAAAATATGGATGAAAAATTAACTAATCAGATCAAGCATGATTTGGAATTCTAAAAAAAGACGAATAAAAAATTTAATTCATGAATAATGTGAGTTTGATTTTTTTTTGTTAAAAATAAGCCACAATAAATTGATGATATTGGTTAGTATACAATTGTGAAGGTGAATTAATAAAAGGACAATTAAAACAATTTTGAGTTCGATACACGATGTAGCCAGATTTGAAGTAATTTGTTTCATATCAACAGAAAGTATAATTCTAAATAATGAAATGATACAATACAACATAATCACTTGAATTATAAAAATAAGTCCATAAATGGGGTTAAAAAATTGTTTATCGAAGATATATCTTTGACAACAAGAAAAGAAGAATAAAAAATAGGAAAGTATATTTATTGCGGAAAGACTTACAGGGAAGAAGCCAGGTGGCATGGGACCGCCGGGCATGCCATCGTTCGGTGGCATTTGTCCAAGCGGCGATGGAGCCGGTCCTGCATTCTGTTAACAATTAGCATAAACTCTTTTAGAGGAAAATCTGAGAGATTATTATGTTATTATCAATAAGGATCTACGTATAAAAATATTTACAGTGGCATGCAAGGAAAAGATAATACAGAGATATTGAGACTATTGTATGGGCAAATTTGCAATCGTACGTTGTTATTAAGACATCTACTAAAAGATGGAAAAGTAATCGATATGGAAAACGGAAAATTGTAATTACGTGTGGTAATCCGTTAACGCCATAGCCACTGTTGACGAAACCCTTGAAAATAAATATTGAAATTAACATCGAAGGGCCAAATTGATAGAAAAAAGCATTGCTTAATCGAGATGAATATGAGACCGGACTTTATTTTATAGCATCTTCTCGAAAAGCAAATGCTCGCATTATTAATAGAGATTGTTGAGAAAATTTGATTAATATGCAGTTTATATATATTTATTGATACTTACATAGTCGTGGAAGGCTTTGGCTTCACTACTGTGTTCGCAAGAATCGCGTCGTTCTGGCGCTGCGCAGTATAAATCCCAAAATACGCTACAAAAGATCAATCGTTGTTTATTTTCTTATTCAAGTAGGATTAAACTATCGAAATCTATACGTAATTTTAAATGATAAACTTACCACCACCACGAATGCAAAAAACCTGGAGGTTCACCTAATGTGATATTTTTTTCCCATCTTATCTGTGAAGAAAACAGAAAGAGATGCAGAAATGTATTACAAGCTCATATGAAAATAGTTTATAGGAGATCTTAGATATGATCATCTTACCTCTGACAAGAAAGTTTGTGCTGCTTTTTGCGCACCAATGTGCAACAGGTACTCGTATACATACAAGGCTAATCTGTAACGAAAAATAAACAAACGATTAAACTTCTCATTGAAATTTTGCAATTATTCACAAAATGATCCTACGTCTCTAGCGAAGACCGTGGAAAATATTGCTTTTTCAATGATTTAAAGCTTAGTTAGAACGATACACCGATAAGAATTGAATCACAAACATATATGATTGTGAAAATAATAATTGCATCTGCAAGCATTGTAGAGCATGCAGAATGTTAAGAATAGTTAGAATTCGGAATTTGAGAGCACCGTCGAAAAATTTTCATCTTTGTTGTTCTTAGTGCTTAAAAATTTTGACAGAAGGAGCGACGGAGAAAGATGGCGTGACGGTTCAGAAAAAGCGAAGGGGGACAGGGCCGCAACCGCTGCCGTAAGACTTGCATGTGTGTGCGCAGATTTCTTTCTCTTTTTTTCCTTTTTCTCTCCGTCTCTTTCTCTCTATATGTTGTATACGTATATAGTGGCGCATAAAAATACTCGTAACAATAAAAGCACGAGGAGAAAGGCGTAAGCGGCGACAACGCAGCATCGATAGACTCCCGGATGTTTCATCGGCGAACTTTGCTCATTGAAAGATTTTTTAGTTTTGAAAAAAAAGAGAGCGTGAAATAGAGAGAAATATAGAGATAAGGAAAACGACAAAGAAATAAGCTGTTTGTGTAAAAAGATATAAGAGATTACTTTTAAAATGTATCAATGGAGTAAAATGTATTTACTCGACGAAATTGAATTGATGTTTTGTACTTAAAAAATGTAGTGCAAAGTGAGACAAAAGTGCGCGAAAAAAGTTTAATTGAAACCTTTAATTACTCAAATCTCGGTCCCTAACTAGGTCATCGAATTAGGACCTTTGGTGAAACAAAGTCATTTTCAGAATTGAAAATCAGCACACATTTATGGGAATATAATTTACAAGTATAGCGGTACTAATGGTAGCGGTGGCGGTGTTGCGAGGTGGCACACTTCGATCGACAAAATTAACGGAGCGCGTGTCTTGCTCTCTCTCTCTTTTCTCAGAACATAAATGCCGTTCACTTCGTTTATATATCTATATATATGTGTGTGAGTGCGCTTTGAAACCCAAATATTTCTATATATTCAAAATTTGGTCAAACATTTTAGTTTTCCAAGCTGAAGCAAAGCAAATTTTGAACGAATATTTTACAACACTTGAGGAGTTATTAAAGTTGAATTTCCATCATTTATTTTAATATAAGCTGATAATTAAAAAAATGAACTAGTAATGACATTTTCATATTAATTTTCAATAATTTGGTCTCGATAGTTTACTTTGATGTCACGCTTGTAAACGTTATACGCCTTGAAATTTGCAATTGTAAATCCAACAGTTTTATATTCATAATCGTTCTACGTAATTTTTCAGTATAGCTTATCGATAATGATCAATACATAATATAGTTCCCCGTGTATTGGAATCGACTATTTTTAGGCACATGAAAATTCATACGTATCTTCTATATATTCGCGAATCTAGTTTAGTAGCTTTTATTTTCTATGTGCGCAATAATAGGGAGTAAGATTTGAATTTTCTGAAACAATGTACCTCTGATTCGGCACGATAGAAAAGGACATCGGTTCGGGCTTTTGAAATGCCAACCTATTGAGTAATTTCAGTGATAAAAGGCTTTACGTAGCAGGAAATAGGTGAATTTTAAAGCACGTACTGGATATACCGCGAGCAATGTATATCATCCATGTATTTCGTCAGATTTACAAGCAATGAAAACAAAATAGGCGCGAGTCGAGCCGCGGACGCGAGCGTGCAAGTGTCGGCGCGCATAGACGAAAAAAAAGACAGCAGCACTCTTGCATTAGAATTGGTCGGAAAAAGGCGAATTAATTAATCGGCCAGGTACTCACTTTTCCCTCGCTTGGTTATCCGAGGGCACGGACGAGCCCTTTCCCTTGGAGTACATGCTCCCGGCTGCACAAGTGTAGCGGCGTTGGCGTTGGCGGTGGCAGGCGTCGTCGTCGTTGCCGCGTCAAAATGCCTTTTTCTCGGCGCTCCGTGTGTGCGTGCGTGCTCGTGCGCGCCTGCGACTTTGTATATTATGTACGTGTGTGTACGTTGGCTGCACCGCCGCTACTGTTGCTGCTACTATCGATGAACTCGAGCCTCGATGCTTATGTATTTATTACTGCACTTATAGCTGGCTGGCCTTTTCGTCAATAGTCCATACGCAGCCCAGTACTATTACTGATTGGATCTACGACTCTTTTCGGGCTCATTGGTCTAGATGTATGCACCTACACAGCGAGAGGATTGAGTTTAATCCAAGAGACAATAATACAACGTCGAGATGTGTAGCTCGTCACTCGATTTATATGAACTATATAATTAATCTACTCTCGATATATTATAGCAGACGACGCGACTGTGCAATTGTTGATGTCGCATCAGAATAAGGAAAAACATCACTGATCGTACGTATATCGTGCCCGAGTCGACGCGTTTAACCTATAAGAGCACGCGCATCTTTCTACGATGTCTAAAGAAGCACAAGCGATGCAAAATACAACGTCGATATTACTCCGAGGAGACGAGGCTGACGAATAGTAGCCGGTCTCGGCTGCGTGGGTGGTCAGGCGTCATTCAAGCTATAGGCACGTAAAAAGTACGCACGTAGCTGCTGCACATATCGCCGAGCCGAGAGCTCGACTTGGTCTATAGGTAGGTACACTGCGTATACACAGACGAATCGAGCGATAAAAAACGACGCCGCGCGCGCGTCGCTCACAGCTACTTTACTCACTACTCCTGTCCCGAGTACCGTCTACCGAATGAATGGGACATTTAATATTTCGATCGAGCCGTTTAAATTGCGCCGGGCACAACGTCAACTTAAAACAAAACATCAACAATGACACAGAGATTCGCAGGTAAATACACGCGTCCTAGAGATATGTGTATGCACTCACTCGCGTCCGCAGGCAGCAGCGAGATATGAGAAATATAAACACACTCACCGAACGGCCAAGTCAGAGGCTGCTGCTCTGACGCTCTATAATACTTTGGTCGAGAGTTATGCACAGCGACACGATATAGAATAGGAGTTGACGCGCGATGGAGCTCCAAGCTGCCCGTGCGCCTGTGTGAGTCTGTGTGTGTTGTAGGTGTACGCGCGTGTGCGAGCGTTACGGCTTCTCTCTCGCTCGCTCCGGCCGACCACCACTCCGTGCACTCCGCTCGCTCTTTGCCGTCTCTATGTGTCAGTGTGTTTCGCATATACGTGTGTTTTCGCGTACATACACTTCAGGGGAAAGGGGACTGCCCAGATCGAGGGAGAACGCAGTGCTCACTGCTGTGCGCGCCCATGTAAATGTGTGAGTACATATATATATGTGTGAGTATTAGCTGCTGCGTGACGGCCGATGCGCACCGCGCATGAGTGAGACGGAATACGAGAGACCGTGTTCTCTCTGTCTTGCTCTTTTAGTTGCCATATGTGTGTGTGTGCGCGCGTGTATGAATGTATATATAGGCAAAATACAGATACATACATACGTACGCGTTATATGCTAGCTCAATGCATTAAATCTTCGTTCACAACGGAGAAACTTTTTCACGTTTTTTCTAGTTTTTGTTTATAATGACACTTGTTGATTTCTTTTAAAGATTATTTATGGTGAATTAGCGCTGAGGTTGATGAACAATATACACATCAATTAAAAATAAACGAATTTAAATTATGTGCTGATTGTGAATTAAAATCATTGAACGGGTATATCCAGCTCTTATCACCATGAATATCTACTTTCTTCGGGGAAAAAAGACTGTCTGGCAAATGGAAATTGAAATATTTCAGAGAAACTTCCATTTCCTTCAAATAAATGCAGCCATTTCCATTTCCTTTTCGTTTTCAACGCTCAGATATTTGAATTTTTTTTCATTTTATTTGAAATATTTTACTTTAATGCAGGAAAAGCTTGTTTACTCTCACATATTTTCCCAATACTTTTCTATTCGTCAATGATAAAAGCAATTCATCAAATTTAGGTAAAGATATCATTAAAAAAATGTTCGAAAATATTTCATTCGAATCGTGATTATGTTATGAAATTGGCATGTTTAATGCTAAAAATGACTTTATTATTTTAACATAAAAATACAATTCCAAGGAATGAATTTTATTTCAAATCATTTCTTTTAAAATATTAAAAATTTATTTAAACATTTTTTCGCACTTATCGTAAAAGTTATCAATAACTGTCGTAATTCAGAGTATTTAGTAGCGAATATTAAAAAAATTCTCAATGAAAGAATTAAAGTCAACTGTGATGTTCGCAAATATGAATGAGGCCTTAGGTAATATATGTATTGTGTTTCTTCGACGTCGCTATAAGCCAGCAATGGCTGAGTGTCGCCGCCCTTCCTTGCATCTCCGATCCCCGTCACCCCTCTCGTCTCTCCTTCTCTTTTTGCGATCATATACACGCACATCTACTCTTCCAGAGTATATACATTTCTCTCTAGCTCTCTGTCTCTTTCTCGCTCTATGCATGGTATATATAGTACGTGAATGTTGTATCATGGTACTCGAGACTTCATCGTCATCATCAAAAATTTGCTTCCGCGTTTTTTCACCTCCTGAAACGTACGTCACATACATATAAATTTGTACCAAACAATTTTTATTTCTCTCCTTTTTTTATCATTCACGCGTAAATAAATTTTAAGCATATCTTGCAAAGTATGAAGACTTGCAGACCCTAACGAACCTATCAGTTCTGTATACGCTACGCTTTCCTGTTGACCTCTCACTGTCTCTCTTTCTGCTCTATAGGCTTTGTTACTTCTGTTTTTTCTTACAGCCTTTTTTCTCCCACATTACGTTTTGTTTACGATTACGATACAGTGGGATTTTCCATTTGTACTTTTTTGAGTATTTGAATGATTGTCATTACTCATACAGTATTGTTCAATAATTTAAAAACAGTTGCCACAAATGTTGTTACTATAGACAATTTAATAATAATAAATATATAATTTAAGCTTAGGATTAGAAATGGGTTTTAAAATTTTTGTAGTAAAATGTGATGATTTTAATTTTCGAAAATCTTCATAGAAAAAGTATTTTGATTCTTAGTTGATCACTAAAAAATTATTCTGGGAAATTACTCCAATGATACAGTACAAAGATCGATAAATTTATTGAATAATACTCATGATGATTATATCATTGAAATCAATATCAATATTATCGTTGTGATGAAAGAGCTCCAACATTAAATTTTATTTAATAGAGCTATTTTTTATGATACATTTCAATCCAATTCTACCATAACTCTATTATTTTATTCTAATGAATCAAATAATTATTTGCACATATGTCAATTTTAATAATTAATTCATGAAAATCAGTAATACATAATAATTTGTACACTTTTTTTTAAATTTTTTTCCAAAAAATATTTTTCAAAATTATTATGAAAGAGTGTCAACGATAGTTACAATACCAATTTTGAATAAATTTTTTATTTAATGAATCATACGAAAAAAAACACGTACAACTAATTTGAACGAGCTTTAGCTATAGCTTGATCAATGTCATTGAACGAGTTATAGGTTCATAGGGTATATCTGCCCACACAAATATTATATTTTGGTATAGACCAGTCGAATAATTGAGGGTGCCAACGTTTTCCATGTTAAATCGTATAGGCTTGTGAGAGTGCCCGTGGAGACCACGGGTATTTTGTGCAGCCCTCGCCACAAGAGAACTTATAAAAAGCGATGGCAGCACCAAATATTATGCACCTGGCCTATTGTAATAGCAGTGCCATGCATAAATAGCGTAAAAAGTCTAGCTTCGCGTGCGAGCATCGATGATCATTGATATCTTGCATGTGCACGCGCGCCTCGCGTTTTCAGGCGCGTATCTAGCGTATTCGCTGCAAGAGGCAAGGGTACCGGACTGCTCGATCTATACTTTTTTTTATTTACTTTCGGGTCCGAATTTTATCGAAAAACCTTTTAAATTACAAATGAGTTATGTACTATGCAATCACCGAGTGTCAATCATAAATGCAACAATTATAAAAATATCCTAAAAAATTTTTAAGAGAGTAAAAAATTGTTTATGAGAATTAGAAAGCATCAAAAATGCTTCACCAGAGAAATTTTTTATATTTCAATAAATTAGTTATTAAGATAGCATTGTTAAAATAGCGTATGAACAGGGATAAAGAATATTTATGCTACGGCACCATTCCTATTTGATGGTATATCTATATAGTGTTGTATATACGTGCATATGTACACATTCTTCATCTTTCTTTAACTTTGCAGAGTCCATCTCTCTCGTGCAAAATGCGTACATTATGTGGCTGCTTTATGAATCGTTTATAGATTTGCAATGAAAATTTACCTCTGTCAAACAAAAATGCAAATATTTGATGTTCACGTTAATTATAAAATGTTTAAAAAGTCGATTAAAACTTAAGATTTGTGTTGGACAAACATGTTAATTCGAAAAAATGTATAAAATGTTGACTTGACGAAAAACTACACCGTTAAATATAGAGACAACGACCTCGCGGTTTGATTAACAGATTACAGAATACGATGCATTACGTTGCATGACGTATTCCATGTAGTATAGGACATATGATTACGTCTATTTTTAAAAACATCTAACGCATTTTCAAAACTACTTCAAGCCACTCGATTATCATACCTCAAAATCCGATGTTATTTTGAGACGCGTGCACATTTCAAGGTCCTCGCACTGAGACATATCAAGGAGTACCCACAAATCCGTCATTTTAATTTTTAATATTTCTATTTCACCATTATATTTGATGAAGATGTCTTTGAAAATCGTTTGTTTTACTAATCCAGTCAATATTTGTTCTCTTTCCGTGTTAAGCAATTCTGTAAGAATTGTTTGTATTTTGAAAAAAAAACATCACGATTAAATTTATAACCATGGCCGCAATAAATCAAGTAAAATTTAGAGATAAGATGAAAAAATCTGGTTAGAATTTCAAAATTGTCAAAAAGACAATCCTATAATAATTTTGAAATGACCTGAAATTATGCATATAAACGAGACGTAAGCGTTGAAATTAAACTAACCTCCAAAAAATAATGTCTATTTGTATATTTGCATATAATTTTAGGAATTAAAGGGGCAACTAAAATCGATATATGTGAAAATTGAAAACGGATCCCATTGTAATAAAAGAGCCATCTCTAATTGATATCTGTTGTACCTTTAAATCAATTGAAGCATCGAGCAAGTATTTAAATTCGTCGACAATAAAATATGTTCATAAAAAACATGCTGCTGGAGCAGAGAAAGAGATGGAAATAAGTTACGGTGTACAGGTGCTCACTAATATAAATGAAGTAGTCAGCTTTTGGAGCCTGCAACAAAATATATAATACAGTGCATCATAGAGCCTGCAAAAAGCTAACAATTGACAGAAGCTGCAACAGAAGGCTCGATCTACGCAAGACAGTCGGGGAAATCTGCCGAGAGGGGAAGTTGTGTTCGGCAGTCGGCGGCGTGGCGTGGAGAGAGAAGGCAAAAATATAACATAAACTCACGCTATTCTCGCGACTGTGCCGCTTCCCCCCTTTTTCAATTTTATCTGGATGACAATATTACCGGGCAATACGTTTTATTGTGTTGCTTATGCGCGAAGCAATTTTGCACGTGCTATGAAAAATATCTCTCGTTTTTTTCAACGAGGGCCTGCGTAGGCGACTCTTGTGTAATTATCTTACGCTCTAAAAAACGCTGATAAATTCAAAAAAATGGCCTTGACGAATGTAACTTTTATATTCTACGAATTGTTCAAATGAGAAATCATCAGTCTTATCGATTTTTTTATAATCTCGTCAAAATTCAACGGTTCAATGATCTAATTTAAAAGCGTCACTTCTGTTTTTTTCTAATAAAACCTAATTATTGCTAAATTTACTGATTGATTAATCGATCATTGTTTTATTTTTAGATTTTTTTGAAACCTGTTTTTAATGAAAATGAAATTTTATTTCAGCAACTGAAGCACATTAATGCAATAATATCATCAAATCATAACTACAGCTAACATCAATTCGTTGAATACGTTGTGACATCAGAATATTTTAGAAATTCAGCAAATTTACACAACTTTCTCACCATGGATGGTCCTGGTACTATCACATGGGAAGAGTTCGTTAAAAATGCCGAAGATATGATAAAAGTTTCTGCCAGAATTTCTGATGGCTGGGAATTTTTAGGGGAAAAGGTTTGTTTCGTTTTATGCGCGATCTTATATTGAAATTGATCAACAATTATCAATTTGTATATCATTCAGGACGTTACTGGAGAAGCATACTTGAAGCGAGTTGAAAAACACATGCTACCTTCGAATCATTCTATTTTTCTCGATGATACAAGCTTAGAAAACGAGGATGAAGTAGAAAAGGATCCATTTGAATTTGATGCAGATGGCAACGAGAAATTAAGGCCATTAATAATAGAGCATAATATATTATGGTCAGAAAGTTATGGTGTTCCAGTAATTTATTTCAATGGATGGAAATCTGGTCAGTATAAATTTTGTATTGAACTAATTGTTAATTCTTAAACTTTGAATTTACCGCCGGGTTCCGGCCATTGAAATGCGACCAGAAAAAATAGACTGCAAAAAACACGATTCCTTCTTTATCATTGTGATTCGAGTAAATCAAAGCAGAGGGAGCTAGTGTTCGAGTTTTTTAATTTTTTTTTGTAAAATAAAGAGATTACTGCGGTAAATACAAACAGTTTTAATTTCTTCCAAGAAATTTATAAATATTAACTATTATTTTTTTTCTTTTGTTTCATTGAATTTTTCATTTCAATTTCATTTCAAGTTTAAAAGCATAATCAAGAAAAAATCGGGAAAAAACGACGTGAGTATATTTTTGCTTAGAATTTCGCTGACGTAAAAGCGAGGTTGTCGCCTGAATACTACTAGACCTTAATCTCCATATGTAAGAACTTATGTGCAGAATTGTTTCGGCAGCTGCTTCTGAACTTGGACTAGTAGATATAAACGCGAGATTATTTTTGTATACAAAGCATGACAAACGCTAGTTTAAATTCGAAATTGATAAGTGAATAAAAATAGTAGGTGGTACCTAATTTTTAAAAATTAAAGAAAAAATAACTGAAGTCTCGTATCGTTCAAGTTAAAATAAAAGAATCAGTCGCCTTTCTCGAAGTCGCTAAAACGCACTTAGCACTCGATGGCTAAGTAATACTTTTAATTTCCTCTGGTTTTATTTCAATTTCTATTGACGCAATAGTTGCCTGAGATTATCAGGCTGCAGTTCACTCATAGAAAAGTCTCTTGTGTAAACTTTATTTTATTAAATTTTTTTTTCTGGTCAATCGTTTCGTTAGATTACGTTAATTGCAACGGGGTCAGCTGCGAAGAGGCACAACAATTTTCCTGCGACGAAGCCGACAGACTGGGCTACGGTGAATTGTCGCAAGCCATTCACCCGATTCGCAAGCAACCGTACCTTTGGCTTCATCCCTGTGCTTCAAGCAAATTAATTCAGAACACGAGCAATAGGTAAGATTTTAAGTAATCATTAAGAAGCAAGTACTTGAATTACTCGGTGATTTAGTTAAAAGCTGATGCATCGTTATCGTAATTTGTGATATTGGGTACATCCGAATAATAAATAAAATCACATTTAAACTTGACGCATTACTTTCAATGAATCTCGTCGAAAAATCAACTACTCCGCGCATTTACTGGGTCAGTAAAAAAAAGGGAAAAAGTACCCAATCTCATAAATTGCTTTTACGACGTCAATTGACGCGCATCTTGGTATAACACACTTACAGCCATTCCGATGCATTGTGTATCGCGCGCGCATCAGCGCAACGACGTGTCATAAAGCCCTAAGGGCTCGCCTAACAGCGACCTCGATAAAATGTACAAATATGCGAGGCAACATTACAGATGATATAGAGGCAGCGATTTGTTTTTTCTCATTGCAGCTCCAACAAGTTGGTAAGTTGGTTGAGTAGCATCGCAGCACGGGCTCTCGGGCTAAGAGTCAAGCCCGAATACTACCAGTTGACGCTGAACGACAACATCGCCACTAATGCATCTCTGCGGCACGTGTAATTGCAATACGCTTAAAATTGTGTAAATATGTGATATTCATTTTTTTACGTTTGCTAAATAAATTTTGAATCTCAATTTGGCTAAAGTACTTGAATAAGTAGCTAACCCCTGCACTACAGGCAACGTTGATAAACCAATAATCCGTTAGCAAACGAGAAATGCCTCCGAGAGGATTACAGGCTTTAATTAGATTACTCTGCAGTGGCACAACAAACAAGAGGATAAAGCCGAAGCCGTAGCATCTTGTTTATGATCAAACTTGATTTTGTCCTGGCAAAAATTTCATATCTTTCCTTGTTACTTGTCAATCATTTCTTTAGCTTCCTTTTTACTCTCTCCCTCTCTATTTTTGTATCCCATTTCACGAGAATAAAATTATATAAGCACCGAACGACACGTGACTGTTATATGACGAAAGCGAAAAAACTGGCTATATCGTTCGCAAGCGCGTTTGTTTCAATAATATTTACTCATTTTTTTTTCTTTCTCAAAAAGAACAGAGACCGATCACGAAAACGTGTGACCTACTTCGTCAGGCACGTTTCCGTCTATGTTTCAAAAAAGAAATAAAACAATTTGGCTTCTTTTTTTCTCTATCGCTAGAGATCGATAGGTCTTACAAAGCAGTAAAATGATTTGGTTTTTTCGACGAACAATCGGTGACGAATCTGCGACTGCAATTAATTTAGTTTTTTCGGTCGATTTTTTTCTCGACTCTTTATCCCTTTTTATCCGTAGCGCTCGTTATATTTATCGAAGATTTATGTATTGTATGGGAAGGTCGATGAGATTTCTGCTGAATCACAGGCTGTGCTGCGAATGCATCGAGTTTTCCGGTGAGAGAGGTAAAAAAATGAGCTGCGACCGAATTTTTCAATGTTTTGCAGCGATCCGCTCAGGTCGCAGTGCACACACACATATATATTCATGTATATATAGAGGTGCAGCCGAGCAGAGGAATGATCTCGGCGACGTAAATAACGTTTTCCAATTTCAATTACCCCAGAGTGTGAAAGATTTACATGGAATTGTCGGCGCAAGCAAGCAACGAGCGGGCGCCAGTCTACACGGCATAAAAATTGCTATGCTGCATACTTTTTCCGCTTTTCGCGCTATTTTCTCGCGTGGCGCATATATTCGATTTGCACCCCAGTTGCAGCAACAACGATTACTTTTATATGCAATTTCCTAAGGCTGTGAGTTAATTTGAAGAGTTGCGCCGTATCGCAGTTGATGTATTCTTCGGTGCAGGCCTCGAATCGTGACATCATCCTCGTTATAAATATGCGCCTATTCCAGGCCCTGTAATTGAAACTCAACGAAGCAATTAAACACGCCGATATACGCGTGCACGAGTGACAAATGATGGAAAAAGTCTGCATCGTGCGATACGTGTGCCTTTCCCACGCGATCCCGCATCTCCGTAGTTATAGAATGATTTAAATAGCGCACGAGCAACGAGAGCTATGAGAGAATAGCGCGTACAAGGGCTGCTGCTGCGTCTTAAATAATTTATGTTCTGGACTGCAGTGGAAATTGCGATTCTTGGAGCTTGCGACAAAAGTCTTATATCGAGTCACTCGTCTACTGCTCGCTCAGAAAATACGCAGCCGACCCATGTGTCCAGCGGTCTTGGCAATTTTAAGGCAAATTTTGGAAAAAGTTGCTTTGAGAATTGACACATTCGCATTGTGTCAAGTCACGAAGCAGGCCATTCTTTTTTCCACAATCTAGACCAACTAATGACCAACATAACGAATCACCTAGTTTTTGCTGTTATAAAGCACTCGTATGCGTAAATTTGAAGTAGGCCTCGAATCGTGATGCGTGGACTGGAACTTTCCGTGCGAGTATGTGAGTATTTGCGAACGAGGCACCGGACCGCACGGTCGAAAACTGCTCGACGCCGAGCCTCCTCCAAAACAATAGGACTTGGCTATTCCAATTTCGGAATCGGGGGTATTCGGCTTCAGGTTTGTTGTACATGTAACAAAAGAGCGACTCAACGATGTACATAATGTTTTGGTCGTCACGCATCCATGTACGCGAATACACATTACCGACATGCCCATCTACGTGTGTGCCTACGTAAATGAAAACAATTTTTTCTTCGCTGTCGTTATTCATCAAAATTTGCGCGTGAATGCGGGACAAAAGGATTTGTCAGGTATATAGGGGAATTTCTCTCTCTCTTTCTCTCTCACTCATGGGCCGCCCGAAAATTCGACGAAAAGCTCGGACAAAAAAAAGTAAGAGTAAAAATGAAAAAGTAGCACGGCGGATCCAAAAGCGCCAAGCATGTATATAGTATATATACATGCAGGTGAGAGTATTCGGATCGTGAGTCGACTAATCTCCGGCAAAAACTTGCTTAATATCGTATACAGCACTGGTGCTCAAAGGAACGTTCCGTGACGTACATTCATAGTCATAGCTAGATTATGCTTTTAATCACTTATATGCGTTCGCATGCTACGACTGTGTATACCAATGTTCAAAGGATCAGTCTGCAGCATGAATGGAAAAAGTTGCCGTTATAAGGATGCCATGTGTATTTTCGTAGTCGTGATCAAATTCATAAGGATTTGTGTACGTTTCGAAATAGACGCATTAACGATGAGATATGCAACAACATAACGATAAGCTGTAATAAAGACATTGAGTTCATGTGCAGTTTGGCTTGTTCAAGCTCATCGTGCCTGAAAGATACTTATATAGGCAACAATCACAAAGATGACGCTCAAATTATACCAGTCGATTTTTTTGCGTGATTTACAAGCACACAAATAAAAATGTAACAATAGCAGCAGTAACAGCTGCAGCAATAGTAAAAATGCCAATATAAAAATGTAAACATTACAATACAAGCGTGGAGTGACGCTGTAGCAGATATTAGTATTATGTTATAAGGTAAAAAATTACATTAGTAGAAAAAAGTATATGCATACAATATCTATGATGAAAATAGCAGTTAAAGTAAAAGTAAAATAAGAGAAAAGCAAGCAAGAGATGGAACGATCGGACGGGGCAAAAGGTACATGCACGCGGGGGTGGATGCTTCGGTACGAGTTGAATCCTTTTGGTTGCGCGTGTGTCTGTGTGTTGCGCGGCACCGATGCTGCGCGTGCTCGTCGTCATGGCGACTCTATATGTGCGTTCTGTGGTGGCCGTTTTACTCTTGTTGCATACTCACGACGCATTTCTACTTACCTTTGTGACTGCTTACCTTTTAAAAAGTCAGAGAGAGAGAGAGAGAAAAAATTTGAAACAGTAGTAAAAATTTCATGAACTTATCCCACGTCATAATTTTACTTCAACGTCTTAATTGATCCACGTGAAAACGAACGGATTTGAAAATAGGCATGGAAAAAACATTGAAAAACAACAACAGTGTGGGAAGTTTGATCGATACATTGTCCGGCGTACACAAAGAAAGTTACATTTTCGCGATCCACTCGTTAATTTGGCGGTTTATTTGATCGCAAAGCGATAAGCATACATTACTTAATCTACTTGATTGATATAAAACGTAGGCATGGACGTCTAGCAACAAGTTATCTTAATTTTAACGTCGATTGTAAAAATCATGCAGTTTTGTGCGGGGCTGCATCATTGGATTTATGTGCACATCTGTCCTGCTGCAGAAATAGTTATTCCTCGAGTATAATTATCCCTGATCAGTGATATGATTTTGATTTTGGATCGGGCTTGGCTATTATGGCTAAAAACATGGAATGCTATACAAACAAAGGAAACAAAATAAATGAAGAAAGAAAAGGAAATGATGCATGGTTCCTCGGATGGCTGCTCAAAGCACAGCGGCCACGGTAAATTTGCATCGATCACAGATGCTCACACTCGTGTACTGATACGTACATGATATTTGGCGCGAGAGAGGCGCACGACTCGATATGTCTATATACATGGTCGCGATAGTAATGTATATAGGATAGTATAATAAAAGATTCGAGCCAAGGTCAAATCCATTCTTCAGCGTCGAGATTCGCGAGGGTACGTACACGAAGTTTGCGTAGCGAACAGAGCAATGCGCAGTCGGGTACACTTAGTAGCTATAGATATAGAGGCGACTGGGCCACAAAGAGCATCGCAGTTGACTCTTGCATACCAAAGGCCTGGGCGTGCGAGTGTAAGTGAGATATAGACGCATATAGGTAGACTGCTTCGACGACGAGGAGGAGAGCCGTCTATATAGACGAAGCGACGGCATATACTCGCGCGCGCACTCGCGATCATTATTTCCCCCGAGCTCCTCTCTCTCTCTCTCTCTCTCTCTCTCTCTCTCTCTCTCGCTCTCTCTATCTCTCTCGAGGGGTTGATGCTGCGCTCGCTTACGCCTTCCTTCCTGGGGAGGGGCTGCTGCTTCAGCTCTCGGGGAGGAGATACGAGATATACATATAGTGACAACATCATCGGGCGCTGTAGACCTAGGCGCCGTGACTCCGACTCGGCAATGACGAAGCTCGCGCGGCTAGTCGAAAAAGCTCGCCTGTCTGCGCTTCTCCTTCGGCACTGCAGCGAATTTTGATCGATGCCTGCCAATTATATCTCGAGTCGAGACTGGACTCGTGCGAGTCGGGCCTTTCTTCCTGCCTCCTTTTTATACATCAAGCTCGACTTTTTCATTTCGAATTTTCCTCTTGCGCGCAGGCTCGTTTTGCGCAAGCGCGACTCGCTTGGCGACGTATGCAACGACACACACTCGCAGCCGATAGCCAGTGTAAGACTCCTACGAGTGCCTATGTATGTAGATCTACGCGCGCTGCGCTGGAGGAGGAGCAGCAGCAGCAGCGTATCAGGCTGTGCACATTGTGCAAGTGCAGCTCGGAGCGCAGTAGTGCGCGAGTAGTGCGCCGCGACAGGAGCAAGTAGTAGCAGCAGTCTGTGAGTGCACCAAGTAGATTATACGCATACACACACGCGCCTCTCTATAGACGCATCACCGCTGGACCCACGTAGCTTTGCGATCTTTATTGAACCAAGAGATCGACTCAATTTTTCCATTTTATTCGGTGAGTTCCTCCTTCGTATAATTCGACGACCAATGACAAAAAGCTCTGTGAGTATCGTAAACATGCACACATGCTCCATCATTTGGATTCACTTGTCGATCAATCCTTTGATTGAATCTCTACTGGTCCGTGAGAGACAATCGACTCGAATCTAGTATGCACTTATAACTGTTCTTCGCTGTTTAACGAGCTACCAAAGCACACGGATTATTATTATCCTGAAAAATTCCAACGAATCAATGTCAACATCCAAAGGTAGCATGCGGTCGGAATCGAATATTCTGTTTTCTCCCCAACGCGTCCAGCAAAAAGATCGAATTGTACCTAATAAAATTCGTACGAATGAGAGATTAACTGCGGGCTATTGTAATGCAAGCTTATTCATGGATTTCACCTACATGAAATACATGTTATATAAAAAAAGGAAAAAGAGGATAAGATATGTGCGCATTGACATCCCAATATTGTGACCGATAAATGGGTCAATCCATAATGTATATAAAACGGAATATCATTTAGACTGGCTACAATGTGCTCTATGTATGTGCTTCACGCTTTTATTCGAGCTCAGATGTCTATTCAGTGCCAATGAATTCTACTTTTCATCTCTTTCGAATTATCTATAATTGCGAATTTAAAGTCACGGCTCTTTAATTTAAACGCGGATTGACTCGCTCATAAGTGTCAATGTAAACATTCCACGCATTCTTTCTTTAATTCGCTACAAAAAATGGACTTTGATTGACTGTTCAGACTCACTTTTAAACTTGAAGTAATGACAGTATTCTTTCGGCCTGCGAAACATTTATCACTCTCGATTTAGGCTGTTATCTCTCCACATTGATTTCTAACTCAAAACAGAGTCACGCGCTATTTGAGGATTGATCGAAATCTGTCGTGTCGTCTTAAAAATTGAGCCATCTTCTCGGCGACTCTTTCAACAAAAAAAACTTAAAGAAATTGAAAGTATAGTAACAGACGTTCACTCGAGTTAAGAAGGCATGCATACATGTTTTGCTCGGATTCTATGTATTCTCTCATCCTTCGGGAGTGCAGAAAAAAAAGGAAAAAAACAAATCTGATTCCAACTGGGTATATCCAATCCTTACTGCTTTTAACCGGTATAGCCAGCCCTACACCGAAACTTTCGTGATCGCAAAAAACAAAAACAAAAAATAATAATAATAATAATAATAAAGACAGACGAAGCGAAGAGAGCTACGGAGGCAAAATATCTCGATAAAGGTCAAGTGATTAGGTAAAATGAGAAAACAGCAGCGTAGCTGCACTGCACTCGAAGCAGAAACACACACACACACACACACACACAGACACACACACATGGGCTATAATCCTTCGAGAACAAAACCTTTCTCTTCTCTCTTCCTCTTTTGCTCTCTTGCATATGCATGATGCTTCGTCTGTATATGTGGAAAATATACACGAGAACGCATGTGTATGTGAGCGAAAATGAAGGCTCAAGTCATGCACCGGATATTACGCCATCGGTGAGCAGAGAGAGAGAGAGAGAGAGAGAAAGAAAGAAAGAGCATATAGGAGACAAAAAACCGAAAGATTGGCCCTTTTTCAAGTGACTCGTGCATCAACCCTTTTTGCTCTCTTGCTAGCGCGTTGATGTATATATATTTCGGAGGGTAACGAAGCGCTGATTAGAAAAATGCGACTTGGAATTCGTGCAAACGAGTGCAGCCTTTTAGTAAGACTTTGCAAAAATATAACTGCTGCCATTGCCGCTGAGCGTCAAAATAAGGTAAACGTTTATTTTCAAAAGAAATCATGTAGTAATTTATGCTGATTTCTACGATCGCGTTTATCGATCGATTAACGACGGTTTATGATAATCCTCGAACAAAACTAATGCGGGCTCGTTTGCTGTAAGCTGGCGCGCGACAAATCAATTTTCCTTTTTAATGCGAAGTTTAATTGCCGCCGAAGTGTGCGTCTGACATGTAGCACATATAGTAGCTATGAGCTATTTTCATTTATGGAAATGTAGACGAGCACTGTTACAAGTGGACGCCGCACCTTGAGAGCAGCGTGCTACAATACTTTGTTTTTTCCTTCGCGATTTTTCAACGTCTTGCGGAGATTAAGCGAAATTTAATCTTTTGCTTGTAACATAGCGCGAAATACATAATATACATAATGTACATGATAATCGGAGCCATTCTAGTTGGTAATTTTCTCAACATTTATTAAAAAAAAACGAAGCATTACCAATCCCAATTAGATATTAGTCGTGAATACCATATCAAAAAGTCGAATTCATTTTAGAATTTTTTCGGTAAATACATAATCCGAAGCGATGCCCGCATCTCTCTTCTTCCTTTTGTCATAATACTTTTTTTTTTACACGTGTTGATCGCCGTACAGTATATGTACGTATGTGTGGCCTTGGTGACACATGAAAAGTAGCAAAAAACCTATTAATAATTGCCATTGTGTCCACGTGTGTGTGTAAGTGAGTAGCTCGGACAATTATGTATTTTAATTAGATACTCGATAGTTTATGTGTCGCATAACACGTACTCGTAAGTGTGCGATCGTCGTATGCCGCACGATATTACATCGCTGGTGAACTGATCATTATTCAAATTATTAAATCAGACAGCCGCGCGGACGATCAATCGACTCTGCAAGCCTATCTTGTTTGCGAAATTAAGCAGTGAGGATACCCCACTCTAAAACTACTCTCGAAAAATCTGTGCTATTCCTGAAAAATCGCATCGTGCAACGTGGACTGTCACGCCTGTGTCTCGCTCACGCGAACCGAATGATTACAGCTACATATTTGTTCGAAAGGTCATCTGCCCGCGGCCATTCGTAAATGTAATCAACGTGTGATTTGCAGTAGATACGCTTGGCCACATAGTAATAATAATCCGCCTACAAGTGAGTTACGATAATATTCACTATACCATCTCTTATAATTTTCACTCAGTTTTTTTTTCATTCAATTCCGAAGATACCGAGAGAAAAACGAGAAGATTTTATAAATGTCGGTATTGTGCAAATGTCATTGCGTGGGTACTGGTACATTTCTACGGATCGATACGGCCTACTATATACGGAGGAAAAAGAAAGAAAAGAGTATTTGGTATTCATAGCTGTTAACATAGCGTACGTCAATGTAATCTCGTTTTCAACTTTGAGATGTGCACGTCTCGGTGCCAATTATTCTTCGCGTCCATATTACGGCCTTTCAAAGGAACAGCGACAATTTTTTTGAAAACTCATTTTCACATGGAAACAATTGTTAATTGGACACTGTCGAAATTTATTTAAATTAGTACATAGGAAGGTTTGTTTTAATACAATTTTGAAATCGCTGGCGTCGATTTTTCGTAGATAATTGGTTCTCCAGAAATTTTCTATTTGAGAATTGAAAATGAAAAATTAAAAATTTGTTTCTAAATTTGACCATACCAACTATTTTATCTCATTTAAAACCTTAAAATAGAAGTAATCGTTTCATCTGAGACCCACATGTTTCGTTGTTCACACAATAAGTTCAGTTTTATGTTTAAAACTGACTATTTTTACTTATATGAGTGAAAATAACATTGGAAAACTAATGCAAGAACAACATTTTTTCAAAAGATCAAAATTTGGACTAAAAAACGAGCATTTGACACCACGACTGGTGAATTTTATGTCATAGGAGGTGAAAGTTTTTTGGGACACGCGAACTTACTAATAGAATAGTTATCTCTAGAGAGTTAGAATTAAACATTTTAATGTGCAACCGATCTAAATCAAAGGCTTGGTTGAAATTATTTACGAGCATGATTAAAACCAGAGACAATTTTAAAAGGTATGAAAAATTTGAAAAAACTCGTTACGAGGATCATGATGTACTAAAATTTGGGTGGCACGTGGACAAGTAATAAACAGATCCACCTTACGTGCATTTGCTCGATTTTTTTTACGCGAACCTCAAAATTACGCACAAGAGTTTCGCTCGAAATGTAAAACTGTGTGATAAAATGATACAATGGACAATGTGCTCATAGCAAATACGAGTAATCATATAATTTCTTAGGCTTATGATACATACAATAAACATATCGGGTGCACGTGCGAGAGCCGAGCTTGCGTACATGATGTTGGACATGTTAAAAAGTTCAAGTTTATATGTGGGTCGAGTTTAGGCCGAGCGCAATAATGACAAGTTACTTAATACCAGGGAAACATTAGACGTCTCGATGTCCCTTAGATTTTAACAGCACGTTAAATTTTGTACGAATTATCTCGAAGAGCACCGATAGAATCCACAAACGCTAGACGCGCATCTTGGTCGGTGAGCGAGCATCACCTCGCTCCCAATATTTGCTAGCAGACACACGTAAAGACAGACTGCAAATACTTATACAGAAAGTGGGTGTGCAGAATAATGGAGTGGCCCGAGCATGTGCGTAGTAGGCATGCTAGTTGTTGGCGAAAAAAGGCCTTGAAACATCTGATCTGATGTTATACACATGATATAAAGGCAATAAAGAGCCAAGACGACGTTTGGTCGTGGTGCTTGCTTCGCGCATCTTGCGCGCGTGTGTGGCTAAATTTTTCGGCAGATATTGTATAGCGAGCAAAAAGCCAACGAGCAGCTAGTCCGAGATCTTTTGTCGCATGCGCACGTGTGTAAAAAAGCGAATACATAGCAATCGAGGCCCCTTCCCCGCCTCTTTGGCTTTTTTGGCGCATGGTGTGTGCTCTACCTCTGCTGCTGTATTGCCATTGCTGCTCTTGCTGTTGCTGATGTTGCGTGAGAGGCAGGCTACTGAGAGAAAGAGAGAGAGAGAGAGAAAAGCCTCGCTGATATTCTTCTTGGCGCGTCGTATATAGCTCCTTTTTCCCTACGAGAAGCGTGTATAAATCATTCGGTCGGACTCTCCCGGCCTGCAGTTACATTTGTACCAGCGTGCCCGACGGCCCTCAGTGCTCTAGCAAGTGTCTATGTTGTGCCACTCATTTATTATTCC